TGGTCGATCGCTTCGTTTCCATGGGATTTGATATTGAAAAGGTAGTCGATGCATTCAACTTCGTTCATATCGACCGCCATGGCGGGGAGGACTACGAATTAGAGGAGGCTTATATGGGTGATATCACAGCAAGACTTCTTGGAGAACCATGACTCATGAATGATCTTCGACACACAATGAATGGTGGTTGGATGAATTAATGAATTGACAACCAAAAGGAATACGAATGGCGCACAGTTTTTGATCAAATGAAGCATAATACTTTTGCGATTTAAACGTACGACCGAGATTCAAGAAAAGAATTTCAAGCTCATTAGCTTTCTGTAAAGGTATACAGAATAGCTATATTAAGAGTGCATTCAAGAAGTGGTGAAAATATGGACGGGGAAATGGCATCTCGGAATTTGAGCCTTCTCCAGGAACAAAGTTTCATTAACATAGGCGTTGGCATGGATATGTATCACATGGCGTTACGTATAGCTTTCTACTCAATTGCATATCAGATATTTATTCAATTTTTTTGCTTTGAGCTATGTGATTTGAATGCATTGGTTTGCTGTTTGAAGACAAAGTAAGAGATTAAGTAAGTAAGCATATGGTATTTGCTTTATTTCGGATTCCCTGGCTTTGTATCTAAATTGCGACATCGAGTTATAAGTAAGTACGTTTCGGAATAGTATTTTCTTCTTTTACTCACCCAGATCTACTTCCTGATTAATCATGTACAGGGTGTTTCTGCATGGCTTATGATAATAATAGAGGTATGTTAGAGGAGGTTATAGGGGTAGGGATATGGGTTGAGGGATGTGTACTTGATATTGTGGTTTCAGGGGGGTGCGGTGTGAGGTTATTTCTTGGGATGGAGTAGGTATATGATGAATGGGAGCGTAGATTGGGATTGGATTGAGGGATGGGAAGGAGGGATGGGGAGGGATGGAGGGATGGAGGGATGGAGGGATGGAGGGAATGAGAGATTCAAGGAATGGGGAACTAAGAGGCATTGGGTATTGGATATTAAATATTAGATATTAGATGCTTGGGGGTGTATAAGAAACAGATATGTGTGTAAGACTTGTGAGAACTTGGAATTTGGAAATTGGATCTTAGAGATTTGGAATTGCAGGGTTTGAGGGGGTTTAATCAGGCTGGCTAGGCTGAGCATCTGGATAAGGGTAGAATGGTGTAGTAATAGGCAGGACGTGAGGTATCAATTCTTATTTATCTCTTGAGGATTTGTTTTATTTTGGTGGGTTGTTGGATGGTGGGAGGGGTGATTTGATTTGGGATTTTGGGGGTATTAGGTTAGCTTACTGTGATCCAAAGCGACATTGTTTTTTTTTTTTTTTTCGACTTTAAAAAGCTTTAGAAAATGATTCAAGATTCATTAAAACAAATACAATTCATCATTCCTTAAATCGCAATTGCTCATGATTAATTAGTCTTTTACATCAAGAAACTGATGGAGATTGTAGAGTAGATACAAGTATAAGAATTATTGAACACTGTTCTCAGGGTGTGAAAGAAACCTTAAAAAGTGGATTGTAAAAGGGGCTTCGGTTAAAATATTGCTCGGGAAAAGTGTGATGTCGATTAACACGGTCTTGAAAGTAGAATTATATGAATCATCAGTGGGTTCTGGGATCGATTTTTTGGGTTTTATTTTTATTGGATTGATTGTAGGATTTGGGATTTGGGATGGAAGGTTGGTTGGTGGTTTTATCGAGAGATGGACTGGGTTATTGGTTGCAGAGTGTTGTGTTGCGGAGAGAAAAAAGGAATTTGTGTGGAGAGTAGAAGTTCTGCTAGATGAAGTGGATCCAGAATGTTTTGGTTATTGAATTTATTACAGCATGTGGAAATTAACCTTGGATCTATTCACTCTGTCAATTCACTCACCAGTGACCACACATGTATTGGGATCCTCGAAAAGACTGTTCCAATTGGCTAAAGCTACAAATTTTGAAAATTACATCAATTATTTTCTCCTTTCATGAGGATATTCCAATCGAGAAGATGAATTGATTCAATTACTTTGAGGTATAGCTTTACCAGTTTTGTAAGTCTTGATTTCAGATCGAGAATTATGAAAAGATTGTGTTTTTAGTAGAATGCGAAAATCACTTTTTCGAGTAACGAGATTGAAGTTTTTATAACTTTGCGTATTGCTCAAAGTTAAGATAGCAAGTTGATGCTATTGTCGATTAATAATTAAGAATGACTTTTTTTGTATGAAATGCAATTGTGGAGATTTGAGGAGAAGAGGTTTTTGATATCTGAATAGAAATGTACACAGTGAAGTCTTCATTAATGTCAGAGATTTTCCAGATATGTTTATTTAAGTTCCAAAGTCTTGAATTGATCTCGCTATCAGCTTTTGGAATAATGAGATCTCATTCTTCAAATCAATCCTGTACAATAGGTTGCTATTCTTCAAATCAAATATAGATAATGAGTCTCGATGTCATAATCAAGTTTGAACAATGAATTCTCATTCTTTGAAATTGTGATGAAAAACGGCTTCTTTTTTCTCAAATCAATTATAAACAATCAATCCCCTTTCACCAGGCCAGATTCGAACAATGAGGGTATATTGTCGATATCAGGCTAGTGCATTGAAGGTTCTATGTCGGAATTAGAATTGAATCACCCAGGTATCTTTTGGGCTTTTATTCTTTTCATTGGTCGTCTAAAGTAAATATTTCTCCGTCGCTGTCCTTACTACTTGCTACACAGATATTGAGAAACACCACGGTTATCAAATCAAAAGAGAAAACAGTAACCCAGGTCCAAACAAAGGTTTTTCTAAGAGTGTCTTATGCAAGGCTGATACACGCCTACCAACCCTCGACGGTATGATACTTTTTGCTAGGAAGAGACTTATCTCGAGCTTCAACAGGCTTGTGATCTACCAAGATCTTAATCTCAATATCGAAGCAAACTTCCGCAGTTGTAGAACTGCTGTGATCAGAGAGACAAAGTGGATAAGCTTGCTTGTTCTCCAAGTCACAGTAGACCCTTTCTCGGTAAAAAACGAAGTCTGGACCAACAAAAGTATCACTAGCGCAAAGCTCGTTGGCGCTGTGGCTAGTGTGATTGCTCGTGATTAATCTCCCTACGAATGAGTGCGAACGAGGACCAGTAAAAGTGGTGCTGGTGCTGGTGCTGTTGATTGCCATTGAGCTATTTGTCATCCGTCCCTGAATATGTGGCAGATGATTGGGCTTCCATGATGAGCGGGATCTGTTTTTGTTTCTTCGTTCCCCAAGCACTGGTGAGGAAACTGGTGGTAGGGGATCGCAATCTACTTTGCATCGCTGACAACATTCATTATAGATTGGGACAGTAAGAACTTGAAGGAGGGACGCGAATCGAAAACCGTTAATTATGGTGGATACAACGCTGAAAAAGGAATCATCGTAGTTGACGACGTAGAAGCCTCAAATGACGCTATGACCGGAGCAAACAGACTTCAGTCATCCAGCATAATCTACCAGTCATGATGGTGTTTATGTAGAAGCTGATGATGGCTTGGGATGGTTTCATATGGTTTTGATGGTAGGAAAATCAAGATTTTTGTGGAAGAATTTCGTTGAGCTTTTGACCGCTTTGTTACCGGGAACCTGACCACAACTTCGAAGCACATGATATGTAACAAGTGGTTTAGTCACTTGTAGAGAAGCCCAAGGAGGCATCCCAAAGCTATGATAGCATGTAGATAGTGCAGCTGGATTGAGGCATGAGGCAGCGGACTTTTCGCCGACTTGCAGTTGAATTTCAATTGAAAGAATGCCTATTATAGATACTATTGCTTTATTGGACTATAGACATTGCACTTTATCAAGGCTAGACATGAATTATACATAAGAAATGTCGAAAGGGCATGATTCATGCCTCCATCCTTGAATCTTACAGCCAAAGTCAAAGCTCTTTTCTATGCTTTCTAGAGCTGTGTGTAACAAATTTGACTCCATAAACGACTACAGGTATCGATGCGAAATAGCGACATATCGATGACAGGTGAGTAAGTAGAAAATCTGTGCCACATGAGAAGCAACAATTGTAGGGAAGTGGCCATTCAGCGGGGCTGGATCCAATCATTTACCTTCTAAATATTTAAGATTCGTATGTACTTGGCTCCGAAAACCAAGGAATGCCAGTTCCATAAGGTATGGCAACGTATAAAATCAAGAAAGATAAGCAGAAGAATCTTATGTATCTGCATGGTCATGGAGTGCAGATTCCAATCCGAAATAAGAAGTTCGATTGCGATGATTGCGTGGCTAATGATATTTGATTCATGTATAACATTTTGCGGACCATCAAAACGTAGAGCTACCTAGGTGTTATAAAAATGTATATATGGATACCTAGGTAGGTGTCTATTGATGAGGTGAAGTTGTTTGTTCTGCCAAGCGAAGGCGGTGAAAGGGCTGATGTCTCAACCACCAACGGCCACCAACAGTCACACCGTGAAATACATTTCAACTGGACACACCAATCATGGCCAGATGAGTAAATCTATAAATAATTCGCACGGCATATCCGCGCCGTAGCTGAATCGCCTATTTATATTCTTACGAAACAATTAATCTTCTAGATAATGCTGCACAACCCCAAAGTCCTGGTGATCTTCCTTGCACAATATTTATCTTCCAAGGGTATTTTTCAGACAATATGGAGACTACAGCTACATGTACTATTAATCTCATCAACCTGCCCAATGATATTGTTGTTCTAATATTTGCTGAAATACTGGAGACTGTCGGGCTATGGAAGGCTCTTGGCCTGCGAACAGTGTGCAGCACGTTTTTGTACCGCAGCAGACACGTCATTATTACGCTTACAATCATATAGGACGTTTTCAGGCATCAGTTACAAACGCAATATGTGTCGATTATATCAGCAATCCTCATGGTTCGGTTGATGATGCTCTGGAGATATGCCGCAGATACCCTCCCAGTAAACTGCTCCGTATCACCGCTCTTCTCATACACATAGAAATGAAAGCCAACACTAGTGACATGATACTTACTCCAATGTATCGAGCAATTGTTGCTGTATCTAGGATTCATTGTCTCTCGGAGGAAAAGCAGACCGAATTGGAGCTTGCCGTATGTGAAGCTGCAGAGGAACGATTGATTTGGGCACCATCCAGCTGTAGGAACACAAATGGAAGGCGGCAGTTAAGCTTCCTCGCTCCAAGGCTACCGCGAACTTATAATCCAGTACCTATAGTTGATACTGATGTTCCAGTGGATACGATCAATGCCGAAAGAATACTTGATGTGCAAAATAGACTTTGCATTGCTATCATCGCCAATGAAATAGCATACGTACGAGTGTTGCTTGAAAGTCACCACGCGGATGCCAATTTTAGAAACAAATACTTCGGTAGACCATTGCATCTCGCATCAAGATACGGACGAGTCGATATAATACAGGTTCTTCTACACCATGGTGCCGACTCCAGCGCGATTCAACCATATTATGGCCCTCACTGGACAGGAGGTTTAGAAAGGGAAAAGTACTTCTGTTCTTCAGGGAGCGCGTTGCGTGTAGCCGCAATGAATGGTCACTTTGAAGCAATGAAAATGCTTGTACAACCACGTTTTAATGCAGTACTACCCCTTTCCCAAGAAGAAATCCAAATGGTTCTTCGTGTTGCGGCGAGGACAGGATCTGTGAGAATTATTCTGTTTCTCATGGATATGTTCTACGGGTCACAAGCTGATAGAAAACATGCAGAAGAAGAAGTTCTACTTCAAGCCGCTTCTTGGGGAAGAGAAAATCTACTTAAAGTAATGCTGGAACGTGGAGTAGATGTCAACTGTATTGCGGGACCGAATCACACTATGCCATATTGATCGCCCCTTCACTGCGCCGCTTATAAAGGGCATGCAAAAGTTGTCTTCCTACTGTTGTCCAATGGTGCCGAATTGAATCGTGTGATTGGCCGGAGATCAAGAACCAACCTTGGTATTGGATTTGATGCGATGAGCTTTGCAGTCGCATGAGGTCACAACGAAGTAATTCGTGTTCTCATCGACTATGGCGGGGTCGTGTTGAAAGAAAGAATACACTCGGATCCTTTATCAAATACGACTCTATTGAACATAGCTGCACGATGGAGCCAGCACCATACGATGGGTCTGTTGTTGGAAAAAGGGGCGATATCACCGAGATAGGCGAGCAAGCTCTGCATGAATATGCCGTCAAACGTGGAGATCTCTTGATAACACGTATTCTCATCGACTCTGGCGTTTCTCCCTGTGACAACCCCAAGAAAAGCCACCAACCAGTGCTCATAGCAAAACGTCATGGATGGCAGCATATTGTGGATTTCTTGATCAGTGCGGGGGCTGACGATATCAATCCTTTTGATACAGATAAGTACCCCATCGACTCGCACAATTTCAGAGATGGCTATTATCCTTTGAAGCAAATCAAGACACCGCGGCAACTATGGCACATACAAGGCAAATATTGATTTGATGCAACGAGAAAACTTTGTGGATTGCAATGCGCAATACAATAAACCCAAAGAATGTTTTCGAGAAAGACATCTGGAGCAGTTATCACTCATACCAAACTTCATTTGATCCTGAATATCGGCATTCAAGTAATTCGGAATTTTTCCTCCTGAATTCAATTTCTTCTCGAGGCACATGTGAATACAAATTCATGGGTACTCTAAACCATAGTCTACCCATCAGATTCAAGGAAGTTTGAATATCAAATTAAAGACTCTGTCGCAGTAGAAAGTCATGCTACCTCATTTACCTCATCAAAATGACCATTCATACGAACAGAATGTAGCATAAATTTTGCAAGAGGTTCTAAGTTCTGCAATCTGATTACACCAACTTAGCTGAGCTGAGATGTATGCATACATATTCCTGAACTTTATTCCTTACCTCACCAAACATATCCCCGTGGTACAGTGGTCTACGTAACGCCTCCACCCAAGCCATAGTAATCGGGGCCCTCTCAATCGGGCCAAATAGGGGACAGTTTGGTACAGTCATTCTATAGTACGAAGTTGATTGGGACCTAGAGGCGCCTCACAGCGCCTCAAAGTTTTGCTGTTTTGTTTTCTTTCGTTACATTTTAATTTTTAGAAGGTTGGATTTTGAGTATTTTGATTCGATTCGGTTCGTCAAATAGCTGGAGCGTCAATTTGTATTTTTGTGGGGCAACTCTTTTTTAAGCGACGTCGAGGTTAGGTTTCGGAGTCTCACTTTTGGAGCAGTGAATATGGTTGATTGAGTTTGAAATGTCTGATTTGTCAACAAGTAATCAACACGTTCATCAGTTTGAACTTCCAAGCTGAATACCGCTTTTCAATTCATTTAATTAGACCGAACAAGATTGACAGACTCTCGCTTATAGTGACCACCACTGCTGCACTACTCAACCTCTTCGCGACAGGAAGCTCTAAACATACATTCATAACTCCGATCACTTTCGTATCTAACTCAATTTCATTATACCTCAGCACAGATTCAGACTTTCCAATATTTCAATTCCCTATCTTAAATTGACCCAACTCAAACCCCATTCTCTGATTCCCGATGAATATCTCGGTAATTGACAAAAGCAAGCTCTTGTGGTAGCCTTTAATGATCATTCCTCACAGATATACAAGTACTCATCCCGAGTGAGCATAACTGGTATTAGGTATCCTTGGAAAGAAGTCAGATAACCGGATATTTAGACCAAAGGCTATTAGACTGGTTGCTGGCTGTAACTACTGAGGGAGTAGTCACATCTAGATAGTGTACATCGCGGTCTTCACACCCTCTTTTCGATGACGCTTTTTGAATATTTGAACTTCTGTCTGCTTTCTTCGTTATTGTTCGTATGATCTTGATTATTTTATCAATCAACTATAACACCTGTTAAAAGCAGCTGTGAGTATTCTAGCTTGGGTTTTGAAATTAAAATTGGTACAACTGAGAAATGGATCAAAAGCTGATAGGTTCGTTCTTTTGTTACAATGAGTGATGGTCTCTTGCCTCAAAAAAGAATTTGGCAGCGATGCGCAAGCTTGGCATCGATTTTTATGTTAGAATGGTTTTGACACCACATTAACATTGAATAGAAACTCTCACATACAGGTCAGCGACTTATTCCCGAAAGGCACGAATGAAGTGATATTATTCAATCTCTGTATGATGCATTTATTAAGTGTCTAATCCACAGATATACACCCTCGTCACTAACAAAACACAATCCATCCCCAAACTGCCGTCACTAATCCCCAGCTCCAATACCCATTTATACCCATAATTGACCCTTCAGATTTAGGAGGTGAAGAAGTGTCCCCCCAACCTCCCCATTCGTACTTTCCACCACTTTCAAACAACTCAAATGAGATTCTGCACTGGCAACAGTGGCCGAGGTATCATTCAAACTAGATGTGTTCCAGAAAACTGTGAGGATCGGAGTAATGCCGTCATAGAATGCGCCCTTTGCGGGGTCTGAGAGTAAAGCAAAGTGAGAGACATCCACTATACTCGAGGATGTGGTGTTGTGGATCAAAGATAAGTCGTAATTCTCTCCCGTCGTTGGGATACAATCGGGTGATTTGGGTCTGGTTGGTGGAGAAATTGGGGAGCTCAACCCTATTATTGTCATATTAGCCATAAACTTTCACTGCGATATCGCTCACTATTGAATTTGACATACCTTGTGCAACAAGATCTTCCCAGCTACCATCCTTTGCCGCAGTACAAGATGCCGGAGCTTGAGATTTAATGGCTGACTGTAGCGAATTGCAAATATCTGTTTCGTCTCGAGTGCTCGAGGTGCTTGACAAAATTTTGGCCATTTGAGATTGAGATTGAGCTAATAGTTCATCAACACAAGATGCTGTAAGAGCATCATTACATGTTCCCGTAGCGCTGGTCCCGAATGTTAAATCTGAAGCTATTCCATCAAAAAATAGTGCGCATGCATGGGTGTTTGACTCTGAGGTGAAACTAACCTTCGGAGGGGTGCCAAGATAAAAATTCCGACTCAATGTTATGTTGAAGGAGTAAGTGGGAGTAGGCTCAACAGGACCTGTAGGAGATGAAGAAGTTTGGCGATGCTTGAGGTGTGTAGTAGGGACAGAAGATTCAACTGGATCATCTGATTCTTGAATCCCCAATGTCCAGGTAAATGGTGATGAATCGATCGAAGTATTAAATGAAGTGATTCCGATCACAGAAAGGGTGATGTTATTGATTGGGCATGACGGTGGATTGTACCGAGTGACGCAGTTCACAGAATCACAACCAACGAGCGCCTGAGCCTTTATGATAGCTGGGATGGAAAGTATAACAGCGATAGAACACAACATTTGTTTTTCTACTTGATGGTACATGTTGGTACAAGGAGAGTTGATATAGTGGTGGTGCTGGTGAGCGAGACAGCTTTCTATCAACCAAGAAAGCAAATAGCGAAAACGATCGAAGTTGTCAATTTTGGAGGGCTTAATTTGTACTTATAAATCATTAAAAGATTGAGAAGAGGAGATAAAACGCTGAGCCAATCACTGGACTGCGAGTTTCTCATGGAAACAGTGCCGCTGTAATTCCAACAAATACAAACGTGAAGTGGATGATTTGACAAGTCAAATCTCGAAGAAATTTCCAACTGTGAAGCAAAAGTTTCTATAATTATCATACTCGTCGTGATGTAGCCAATCAATCAACTGACTAAACTTTTGATATGATTACAAGAATGAATAGTAGACCGACGGCGCAAAGAGGCTTAAAACAACTCCTTCAATGCCGGGACCAATAGAAACGTCGATATCTAGGTATATTTGATCCTTTGAATAGATTCAGTTTACGATGAAACGAAGGCGAGAGGCACAGCTAGACTTGAGGATTGTCGTACTTAAATCCATAATACAAATAAAAATTGTAACTGCCTTGTGAACTTGCGCAATGGATTGATAAAAATGACACGCAGCTAGAAACAAAGGGGTAAAAATTGAATATTAGGTAATGCAAAGAAGCTGTTATTTCTGCCACACTTGAAGAGAAGACTATAGTCATTTTGAAGTAAATGGCAAAAAGATCCTACTCCATCATCAGGATCTTTGAGGAAGAAACTCGCATTTTGAAGGATTGATACCGGGGTAGACACACGTGATATCACACGTGAGTCACGCATGCTGTCTTCTCCGTGATATTTGATAGCATCGTCCTACCACTGTTATCACCGTTGGCTCAGTTTTGGGGTCGAAAGTAGGCAAGAATTCGGTGCGTATCTGGATAAATTGTTGGTGAGTCGTTGATCGTTGTCCTAAAAGTATCAAGTCCCGTGTTCCCCACTTTTGATTTCATGAAGGAGATAACCTAAATCAAACCTCTCAAATCTGAAACAATCATTTGTTCAAGCCTTTGAGCCGACTTTTGATAACCTCGTGGAACACATGCGTATACCTACAGTACAGATTGTGAGGTAACGATTTTTCGTCGAGGCGCACCGATCATGACTTCATTGTCACCAACGCTCGTGGTTGGCAGATGCCAAGATATGCAACAATTTAGGCCAATTTGATAACTACTATCAGAGTTTTTACGAGTTGGGGTCGATGGAGAAATGAACGTCCTTTGTCGGCGTAATGTTGTGCGATACGGTAGCTAGTCCCGAACAGAATACCGATCTAAGATCATCGAGAGATTTCGGGGAAGAATCTGCCGGAAAGACACGATAGTCCTCGAGGCAACCATGGTAAAGGAGGAATACCTCTTGGAAGTGCCTACCTTCAAATCTCTCATTTTCATTCATTCATCTACCAGCTCGCGATTGAGGGCTGTGAGGTGTTAAGAGATGATTCAAATTGAAGTCTTGATTGCTTCGCTCTGGTCTTCTGAAGTATAGGAGATGTCAGATATAAAACATTTGTATCTTGGAAATCTGGAAAGCCTACAATGTTTTAGTTTTTCTCTTTGTTTTTGGCAATTTTCCAATCTTGATCCATGTATCTGTTACGATCTATAAGCTTAATTTTCATCCAAAACATCTCCCGGCGCTGAAAAAATCTCCGCATTTATCCGGCAGATTTCTGGGGTAATCATACATATTATGGAACCCCAGATTTCTGTTGTAGCCGAGATGTCATTACCCCTGTGGTACAGCAATATAGAGTTGTTTCGCTGGCTTTTATCCCACGAATCGCCAAGCGTACCTTACATCACGCGTTGTTAAATTTCATTACTTTACCCAATGTGCTAAATTCGTTGTTTGATCGTCGCGAGTAACCTTTTCAATGCCCATCATTACTTCGTTCGGTAAATGGGATACCCATTTTCGGAAGGCCGAATACATTCACACTTTCATGTGCATGCCTTTTTAGTCCCCTTTTCCCTTTCTCACGTGTTGATATATAAGCGCAACAATACTCTTCAAGTCCTGACATTGCCAAGGAAGAGACCGAGGTGCCCGGTTGAGCGGGTGGGAACTCGGCGAAAGATCATTCAGCATACTAGATAGTTCCTCAGTCAATGGAAAATGAATTGCCATGCACTTATATGTGCTAACCATGACCCCCCAATTTTATGTTCCGCTTGTCAAGTGCTATGCTCTCTTTCACTCCATTCATAACCAAAACTAAAATTTGATACTCCGAGTCTTCCGAGTTCAAAATGCGTCTAAATTTGAGAACCATTCTAATTTCGGCTTCCTTGTTCTTGCCATCTCTTGTATCTGCCCAGCTAGCTTCTGGCTATACCATTGGCCCCCTTACTACTTCAGCTGCGAAATGGGCAAAAAAAGTCTGTGATGTGACTAAGTATGGCGCAGTAGCCGACGGAAAGACAGATCTAGGACCAGCTCTTCTTGCCGCATTCAATGCCTGCGCAAGTGGTGGCGTCGGTATGTTTGTAGACTTGCGCAATCATGGTGTATGATACTAAGGTACGATCTAGTGAACATTCCTCTTGGAAACTTTGCGATGTCTACATGGGTTACACTATCTGGTGGTAAGGCATGGGCCATAAACCTCGAGGGTGTCATTCTTAGAACTGGGTAAGCTCTCTCGCTGCTTCAAAAACATTTTTAGTTTGCTAAGAATTTGTATACAGTACTGCAGGAGGACATATGATTGTTAGTAAGTTTACCGCCTGAACACTCGTAGTTCTAGCATTTCTTAATTCCCAACTATAGTCCAAGACTCCACCGACTTCGAAATCTACAGCAGTAGATCAAGCGGCGCTATCCAAGGTTATGGATATGTATTCCATGCACATGGAACTTATGGGTAAGAGTCTACGATGAAAAATCGTCTCGAGAATATTGTTAACCCTTAGCGAAGGCCTCGTCTCATTCGACTAGTAAACGTTGTCAATTTTTCTATCCACGACATTGCACTTGTCGACTGTAAGTACCTTCTGAACTTTCTCTACCAAGATTGTTTCACCTTCCGAATCTATTACCATACAGCCCCGCCCAGTAAATTGCAATATATCCTCTAGCTAGCTATCAATGCCTCTGTTCATTTGTCCTGTCGATCTCTACTAATCAATCCACTAGCCCCGGCATTCCATCTCATTCTCGACACCGTGCAACACGGCCAAGTATACAACTTGATCATCCGTGGTGGAAACGAAGGCGGATTAGATGGCATCGACGTCTGGGGCTTCAACGTTCATATCCATGACGTAGAAGTTACCAACAAAGACGAATGTGTCACTGTCAAGGTATGCTCTATCACCTCACCCTCGCAGTCTCTTTTAGAAAGCCTCCACTATGCGATCTCTCTTATCTAGAACATTGCAATTGACGTACATGGACATGACGCTGACAGAACTCAGAACCCATCCAATCACATGCTCATTGAGAATATCCATTGTAATGTAAGCGGTGGATGTGCAATTGGTAGTTTGGGGGCAGACACTGCAATTTCGAAGATCACTTATAATAACATCTACTCCTGGCAATCTAATCAGATGTTCATGATCAAAAGTAACGGTGGATCAGGTAAGTTGTCTTCGCTCGTATCACCATTACCCTTTTTAATCAGTCTCCCAGGATCGGTATCCGACAGTGTATTCTCAAATTTCATTGGCCACAGTAATGCATATTCTCTCGACATTGACGCATATTGGGAATCGACACCAGCAACTGGCAACGGTGTTCTATATACTGGTCTCACCTTCTCTAACTGGAAAGGAACTTGTGCAGATGGTACCTTGAGAGCGCCTATCCAGGTCATTTGTCCAACAGGCCAACCTTGCGCGGGTTTGAGCATTACAAACTTTGCAATGTGGACAGACACGGGTAGTCACGAGTTGTATAAATGTCAAAATGCTTGGGGTGATGGAGGATGTTTGGTTCACGGCACTGCGCATACAGCTTGTAAGTTGCTACATTTTCCTATCATCACAATGGCTAACGAACTCTATGATAGACTCGATTGTGACACAAACGGTATCATCAGCGCCTTCTGGCTACTCTGCAGCAAAAATGCCGAATGATTTGGCTGCTGGATATGCGTTGACAGCTAGTATCCCTATCCCCACGATTCCTACTACATTCTTCCCCGGGCAAGTTCCAGCAACGAAGAGGGCGTATCCATAGTCGCCAGATGGAGGATGAATATGCATGCGAAATCATAAGTGTAAATAGTTGCGGAAAAGCAGGACAATTCGTAAATTTTACTTTGCTTTAGATATTGAAGCTTTCACTCCCGTGTTGCTATTCTTCGACAAACGTGTTACGTCCATATGATATCTGCAAATTCCCTCTTCGGGGTATAACGACCGTATTGCGCATCTCTAGTGATAAAAACCCAATACTTTCGTCTTGACATGCAACTATCGAGATTCTGACCGTAACTCCAATCGCCATTACTCCATTATCCCAAGCGGTTTTTACATCATTCATGCAATGTTATCAACATCCATTCCCTCGTTGACTGCATTTGATGTAGTCTCTGGCGCGTCTAGAATCGTTTTTAGTATCAGAACCTCGAAATCAATTACAAATTTATAAAGTACTAACCAGTCATCTTAACCTCTCCTTCCTTCATTGCCTGTTCCAATGCTCTTTGACGTGCACAGTTTTGCGCCTTTTGGAGCTTACGAGCCTTCTTTCCCGATAAAGGTGCCAAAGGTCCACTCGTAGGGTGCAGAACAGTACTGGCTCTGGTACCTCTTGGGTTTTTGGTAATCTTGTTGATAGCGTTCTTGCGTTGAGTCTTTGCTCTGTTTGCGATCTTGCGCTTCTTTTGGGGAACATTGGGGTTGCTCTTGGATGCCATTTTGAAGTAATTTTCGAATTTCGAGTTGTGGATTGACTTGCAGATGGAATTCTTTGAATGAGGAAATAATTTTGAATGCACAGGGTAGTGATCCACTTCGGGTGAACACTTTCACCGAATTCCCGATGCTTGCAGCTGCGCCACAAGCCAAGTTTACTACCTGAGCCCGGAATTCATCATCATTGTCATCACTTTTCTTGAATATATTCACATTCAAACCCAAATTACCAATACATCACCTTCTTTCTTCACCACCTTTGTAGTGGACAGCAAACAACTTCGAACTTCCTTGGAGTCTGCAATTCTTATTCTATTTACACACAACTAGCAGTCCAGTTTTAAAGATACTCAACTATTCCTTCTGTTGTTGTTTACTTGGGATAATTCATCATGTCGTGGGCAGGTAAGGAGAATTCATTCGTGAACTTTGCAAGGATAAAGAAGATCAAACTAACGATGCATTTGTAAAAAGGCTTTAAGAAGAATGTCAATAGGGCAACTACTCAGGTTATGATGAAGACTGGTAAGTGAACCTACCTTGAGGAACTTGCGGGGATCGGGGGTGGACGTCAAAGAAATATGATGCCATCGCCGAATTCTTGCGAGGGTCTTTCGAGTTATGATCTGTTTATTTTCCAGGCAGCAAGCTAATTATTTATTTAAGGTCATGTTGAGAAGACAAATGATCGCGATTACGAAGTTGAAGAAAGGTTAGTTACAACTTTATTACACAACCACAATGGCTACAACAACCGCCGAACACGATACCACGGCGGAAGAATGCGATGAGGAAATGAAGGCGCTCTTGCGAGCTGTGCAAGAAGTCAGCTTGCGGTTGACTCTGGAGAATGGCGGTTACTCCAGTAACTCTGATTCCGATTCCGATTCCGATTCCGATTCCGATCACGAGTCAGAAGATGAAGAAGAAGAAGCCGAGATCGACGACAACAATTCATCAGGCTATCCTTCAACCACCCCCTCCAACTTTCTGTCTACGCCATCTGCTTCATCTGCCAATTACTACCCATCAAGCCCTTTCTTGCACTCGACCTCGATTTCCTCCAACGTTTTGACCGACTACCTTCCATCAACTCCTATTTTACTTTCAAGATCGACCTCTTCCATACCCGGAAATGAAAACTTGGAATGGGATTGTTTTTTGACTCAATTCATGGCGGCCGAAACTGAGGATGAGAAGGGAATTGTAGTTGACCAAGTTTCTAGACGTTATCGCACAATGGAGGCCGCTTCATTGAGACTGCAGAAGGAGTCGAAAGGTTATTTGGATTCTTTGAGAGGTAAATTAATTCATTCTGATTTTTTGAAGGTGAGCTGACAACAAATGCAGCAATGACCGCTTCCCAGATGCGCATTGCTGAGACCATTGATGCTTTCTACGGTGATGCCGGCGCAAAGGATGGTGTCAGTCGCAGTTACAAGCAGGCTGTAGAGGATCTTGACGCAGAGACAATCAAAGCCCTTGATGGTCCATACCGGTAATATTTGCACGTTTATTTGCGCAAAACGAATCAAGCTAACATTACTAGTACCACCGTCTTGGAGCCCATCTCAAGATTCTGTGCCTACTTCCCCGATATCAATGAGTGTAAGGATATTCCCTGGTTTCTTTTGATGCCTGCTAAATAATTTTTAGGTATCAAGAAGCGTAACCACAAGCTCCTCGACTACGATGCCATGCGCGCAAAGGTTAAGAAGCTCGTCGAGAAGCCAGACAAAGATGTCACCAAACTCCCTCGTGCCGAAAAGGAGACTGAGATGGCTAAGGCGGCTTACGAGCAACTCAACGACCAACTCTTCAATGAACTTCCTCAACTCATCGACCTTCGTGTTCCTTACCTTGACCCAAGTTTCGAAGCTTTAGTCAAAATCCAACTTCGCTTCTGTGCTGAGGCATATTCCAGAATGGCACAAGTACAACAATACTTGGATGCTGATACAAGAGAGCAATATGCGCAAGGACATCTCGATAGTAGAGTTGAGCAAGTTTTGCAAGAAATTCGCGAACTAAGCATCAGTGGAACAGTTTGAGCAGTGCGATTTCATATGGGGTTAATATCAAGGAATGTTATTTGCATGGTACTTATGGTACTTCATGAATATATGACTGGTGTTACATGGATGAAAGTTAGGGTTTTGACTGGCAAGCGTTGTCATTTGACTTCGATATCAAAGGAAGGCGTTTGGGAAAGTTGTATACGATTGCCAGGCCCAATTGTAAAGGACTGAGCATGTATCATCTAGGATTGGTTTTTCTGTAGACACGATAATTTTGTCTTGCTGCTTGCAAGATCATAATCATCACTTTGAATCATCTATATTGTTAATTGCCTGTAATGTGACATGATAGCTGACGTTGTTGCGCGTCATTCGAGGTTTGGCTAACTGCTAAATAGAGAATTATGGACCTAGCTCTAGGGAATCAAGGGTGACTACCGTTTCATACCTACTTGATTGTCATCTCATGATAGCACATCTTCAGTATTTCGCGTAGACTTACTCTTCGAAATACTCATTTTAAATGGGTAGATCTAAATGCGTCCACTATTTTTCTAGAGTAATATCGTCTACTTGTCAACTCGACAATCAATAGAAGACATCAAGTTGTTCCATTCTTCGAATTATATAAATATCTGTTACATGATTCGGATTATTTGAAACGATGAGATGTTATACCTACTTCCTTGCACATACACTACCGACATAGATTAGATACAAGCATCGCCAGGACCTCCTCACAGATCGGCAATCGCCTTTCCCCACAATTGAAACTTGGCCTAACATATCTAGGGCTCTTTTGCATGTGGGATTGATATCTTTAAACGTTATCTGTTTGGGAATGCGGCGCTTATACACTTTTTGCCTTTGAACTTTCGAATGAACAGGAGAATAATGAGATGTGGTAGACTAGCTGGAAATCTTTGAGGTGCGGGAGAGGGGACTAGGGTGTCGTCAGCGAAACGGATTTGCTGGGACTCGCTCGGGAGGGAGGGAGGAGGGTTCTTTGAACATGTTGGTTGGAGGCTTTGGATCTTGGGAGAGGGGTTTGATTTGTCGCTTGTCTACTTCCGCGTGCTGGATTTGTTCTCTAGGGGGGTTGCTTGGCTCGAGAATCGAAGTTTATGGAAGTCAAAGAGAGGAGTGAGTGCGTTACTTCCCGGATTCATACATGGGGTATCCATAGATACTAGGGGCCATGTGAAAGATTGTCTCCGTGGTGAGGTTTACTGGCGGTTTGATCATACCACTGCATCTCGAGGTGAAATCGTACATTCGCGTCCTTTGGTGCGCTTTGGGATGTTGATACTGGGGATTGGAGGGTTTGTTGTAGGGCAGCTTGGGACGAAGGTTTGATGGCTCTTGGCGCATACGTTGACGGAGCTAGATAGGGGGAGAGTCAATGGGGTAGCATGCTATTATTTGTGTGTCGTGAGAGATAGCTTGGGTTATATATCTGAGCTTTGGGGGAGAGATGATGTGGAGGGATGGAGCGGAGTAATGTATATAAGGATCCTTCTCATCGTTCTTAGCACGATTTCTGGACATCATCACTTCCATTCTACATTCCTATTAACTTTTTAGCAAATCTTCGGCAGGACTGTATTTATTTCTTACTCTATTTTCTATCTTCAAGTTCAACAGACTATCTATCTTCCCTCCAACCAAATTCAATCCCTCGAACCATCAAAATGCAATTCTCCACCGTCTTCCTGTCTCTTCTCGCCGCTACAGCCGTCGTAGCAAAAGGCAACTCTACCAAACCCGTCACCGATAAATCCCTCTGCAAAGAGATGAACAAGCTCGAGAAGCTCGTGGACCAAGCCCAGAACACGACCAAGCTCGCCTCCAAAACAAACAACAACCAGACGAAAATCGATAGTATCGTCGCGAAAGCGAGTGCCGCCGCTGTGCAGCTCGATGCGATGCAGGCGAATACTACGCTGGTGTCGACTTGTGCTGTGATTGACGCGGCGCAGACGACGAAGAAACAGTGTAATAAGATGGAAGGTATGTATTCCATTTATTTCCTAACTTCTATTCCCATTTCCCTTGCCCATTCTCCATCCATATTCTACATCTCGCCTGTCCCCTTAATTCTCAATCTTTAATTCTCACACCCGTCAGACCTCCAAAAAACCATCGACACGGCCGCCAACAGCACCAAGCTCGCTGCGAAAACCAAAGGCAACGCGACGAAAGAAGCAGAATACCAAGCCAAAGCCACGAAAGCGCAAACGAAACTCGCAGAGATGACGAGCAACACTACGTTGGTAGATGCGTGCAGTGCGTTGCAGACGGAGAAGGAGGCTAAGCAGGCGGATACGACGACAACCACGAATGCTGCGACTAGCTCTACAGCTGCGAGCGGTGCGGCGGGATTGGTGGGAGCTAAGTTGGGAAGTTTGGTGGGCGCGTGTGTCTTGGTTGCGGTGGGGATGAGCTTGTTGTAGAGGTTCGGGGATGCGGTGTATGGGGGCGTGGGTTTTGTCGGTGAGGGGGTTGGGGGATTTGGAAATCGGGGGAGGAGGTCGGTATTGATATCAGTACATCAGATCAGAGACCGCGGAATTGGGAATATCTACACTAGCAATCAACACCAGGTTGGACATTGAAGGGACACCGAGTTGAAGAAAAAGCGGCACGCATACATCGTGGACTCGCAACCTCGCATACTGTAACCAACTACACCCCTTCAAATATTCACAGTACAAGTTAGGACAAGAATGAATGAGAACTCATCTATCAGAGAAACAAACAAGCAAGAAATAATGGGTTCTCGACTAAAACGTGACTTCATCACAACGCTATCTTAGCGATGAGAACAACTGACAGAAAAGAAAACACCGATCACGTCTTATCTCAGGGATCTCTACCTGACTCGACACACATGTGTCCACAAGGTCAACACACGAGGTATTCCATGAAGAGCCTTCAAGGCAGACCTACGGTCCATACATCCTCCTACCCGAACTCGTAAACACTTCAATCAAATGTAACGGGTGGACTCTACACACACCCATGCATGCAACTGCAAGTGCGGCTCAAAATCCCCTCATTTCCAAGTTCAAACCAGGACCATCATGCAGACTAGCTGAAGTAGGTGATAAAATCCTTAAAAGAACCTTCTTCCATTCAAACTCCATTCGTGATTGGACATCAATACGCAGCACCCGTGTAACCTGCAGATTCCAACGAACGATCAGCATCTAACCCATTAAACACAGTGACAACTACCACCTCCACCCAACTCGGTCCCCTACCTTCCCCAAAAAGATCACCACGTCCAAAAATAAATCACCGTGCTGCATCCATCCATCCATCCATCCCATCCATCATACATATGTATCGGTCTCTCAACCCTTAGCCGCATAATTAATTTCTCTGCCTAAAAGACCCGTTCCGTCGTACCAATTGCTCGCTGTTGTCAGAACCTTATTTTATTTGCGAACGCCCGTTAAGGCTGTGAGGAGCAAAGCATGGACCCACATGTAACCTTAAACTTTTGTGTGGCGTTTTTGATAGGTTGTAGATTGTCTGACGGGTGAGCTGAAAAGGTGTTGTCGATTTTTCTAGTCTTGGGTTTGGAGGAGGAGAGTGGAGTTGGCGACGTGATGATTTGTAATTTTTGTTGATTCCATGATTTTATGGTATTATTTGAGGCTCATGTGAAGACCGCCAAGCATATAGATAGTGACGTTGAGAATCTAAACCCCAAGCTGTACACATCGCGTACCCAATTGTGTACTTTTCCTAGGGTGTGATAAATCACAATGACATATCTCAAGGCGCAAACCCGTAATTTTCCAAGCCAAGTAAGGAAGCAAAAAAGTGTTGTAACCCAAGAGACGATCGACAAAAGTGGAAGTGAGAAATGTGCAAAAGGGAGTGAGGCTGAAAAATGCCATGCCATGCACCTTCCCGCCCTTCGAATGACGAGGGAGACAGGTAGGTACGAAGGGATACATATTTGAGCAGACAAATTTCCGTTCGAATATGAAATTTCTGTACATCGCTTCTCAAGATTGTGTTTTCTTTTGCTACTACATTGATATTCTAATTCGTACACTTATAACTTCAAATATTGTACTACGAGGAGCCTTCGAGTTGAATTGAGCATATCAAGAAGTTTCCACAATGGCTGTCACGAATACCACTCATATTCCTGGTGCGAGGGGTGCTTTACTTGGACTTCGCATTGCACAATTGGCGCTTGCTGTTATTATACTTGCTATGTCGTCTTATGGAGTTTATTGGATTGTATATGATGGAGACGCACTTACATTGGCCTCGGTAAGCTTTGGCTATCTCCCTCTTCACTCATGTTTAAGACTAACGGTGAGTAACCTTCAGGCTGCTATCTCGATTGTCATTTGTGTCTATGTGATAGTAGCAAGCACAGGCGCACCTGTCCTGTATAACTACTGGGCTGTACTTGGACTGGATATTATCGCCGTGATACTTTGGGTTGTATCATTCCCGATTCTCGCCTCGCAAATCGCAAATGCCGTTACTGTCCAAGAGACTTGCGACTCATATTACGATTACTGCTACTACTACAAACACAAACGTGGATTGAGCCTTGCGAAGCGTGCAGAGACCACTTGGGAGACATATAAGAGTGTGATGATTGCAACATCTGCATTGGGTGGTCTTGAGTTGTAAGTATCAAACAGATCCACCTCGTGAACAATTATTAATCACATTTAGTGTCCTTTTTGCGATTACCCTCATCATTCTCGGCATTAATCTTCATCGACATCGCAGTGCTGGAGGTCATTGCCAACCTGGTGCTGCAGCTCCTAGACATGTTGATTTTGAAGAAAAACAACAACGTAACGTCGCTGTACCTGTGGAGCCAAGTCAACCTGAGGTTTATAATCCAACAGTCACCCACCACTAGATGTACCTACGACCCTGGCATACTCAGAGAGAAATGGAGACAGAGGAAAGAGAGTCACGACTGGAAGGTGATGGATACGTTGAAATGCGGTGTTTTGGTCAAGATATTTGATGATACCCGAATATTTCTTTCGTGTGTATAGTGTTTTGGACGAATAGGAATAATGAGGCTGAACTAGAGTTAGAGATTAAGGATTGAGAATTGCATGCAGTCTTCAACAGGACAAGGCATTTTCCATATTGATCAACTTTGAATCTGAGTGACACGTACTAGTAAGACACTTCAGAAAGTAACTTCAAGCTTATATTTAGTTTCCGAAGAGCCTTGGGAGATTCTAAATTTCCATATAATCAATGATCCAGAATCATTAGTCTTTCACTAAAAGAGCTAGATTCCGCCACCACACAAAGGAAAACACAAGAAAACTATTCTTAGCATTTGAGAGTCCAAAGAGATGATATAAATACTAATACCACTAGGTACCTCAATAACATCACGATGTGAAAATCTAATTCTTTCATCCCATCAAAACAACTCTTCCCCATCTCACAGCCAAGTTTTCCAGAGCAGATCAAGATGATGTCTAGCTAGCTAGGTAGCTGACAATTAGACCGTGACTCGAAGTATGACCTAAAAAGTTCGGTGATGACTCAGATCATCTAGAATCCTAGAACTAAGTGGTGGCTAGACATGATAGTGTATAAAAAATGATGTATTAATAACAAGAATTAATGAGAAAATTATTACTTTTCAAGAATCTTATATATAATCCTCTTCTACTTGTAAAAGCAAATAGAGGAAGAAATTCTTGTACAGCAAGATAAGATTAAAGATTGTTATCGCTGAGAGAATGACCATATCACCCACCACTAAAACCCTTGTTCAAATGACGCAACCAAATCGCGTCCGCGCGCAAAAAAAGTTATCAATGATTGAGGGGGAAAATAACTCAGATTCGAGTACGGAATCACAACCAGAATCACAACTACAATCGCAAACAAAATCACAATTACCAACTCCCCCATCCTCCTCCACAACCACACCTCTACGCTCACCATCTCCCTCCACGCAGACCCAAACCCAATCCCGAACTCCCACCCCAACCCGCAAACAAAAACGGCGCGCTCTCCTCGCCGAATCTCTCGCCCTCTCACTCCACAACTCCAGTTTCCCAATTTCCGCTCCCGAAAGCGATGTCCCCGGCAGCCCAACCATCCTCATCTCACCACACCATCTAACACCCTCGACTCCCAACCTCCCACCCACAATGTCCACCCCCACCCGTCTCCTCATCTGCTCCATCGGCAACCCCGCGCCCTACACAAACACTCTGCATTCCGCGGGCCACACCATCCTCAGCATCCTCGCCCCCTCGCTCTCCAACCCGCCCTTTCAAAAATCTCGCTCTTATGGAAACGGTCTCCTATCCCCCGGAACGCCATACACGCTGTGGAAATCCAGCTCCTTGATGAACGTTTCCGGGGTTGGGGTTACATCCGCCTGGACGAGTTTCCAACGGGAATCATCTTTTGCGGAGTGCAAACTTGTTGTGGTCCATGATGAGCTGGAATTACCAGCGGGAAGAATAAATGTGAAGCCGGGGAGTAATAGTCCGAAGGGTCATAATGGGTTGAAGAGTATTCGGGATACGTTACGGGGACAGCCGTATACGCGGATTGGGATTGGCATCGGGAGGCCGGAGAGTAGGGATGCGGGAGTCGTGGCGAATTATGTGTTGAGGAAGATGAGTGTTGAGGAGAAGAGGAAAATTGAGGGGTGTGTAGGAAAGGTCCTCGAGGAGCTCGCAAGACTGAGTGGAGAGTAGAAAGGTCAAAGATTTTTTGAATGGTACTATGTGGAATGACTGAGGTGGAATGGTATATTACAAGTATTCGTCCGAATTTGGTTCGGTATAACAACACTTTACGGCATGGGGTTTGGACACGAGATATGGGACGGGAATGAACTGGTTGCGCTGAACATATTACCCATTGGATTTTGTACATTTCTTGTAACAAAAGAGAAACGCCCGCTGATGCATATGATACCCCTAATAGACTAGATATAGAAAAATAGGAAAAGGAGAACAACTTTCGTGGGCTTTTAAAATTTACCTTTTACCAAAATCAAATGACAAACGAAATAAAACTAAGCTACTCGAGCCTCATTGTTCTTCCCTAAAGTGCTTGGGCTTTCTGGCGATTCATCATCGCTCATCAATCCCTCCAGTTCAAACTCTTCCGCATCACGAATCTGCCTTGAATCTGTATGAACATGGCCATTCATCCGTGGAAGACGAGCTGGAGCTCCTTCTCCATCCTTTGGAGGCACTGGAGGTGCGCTGGTGTTGACTGCATAGATATGAACCAACATATTGGTTAATAAGAATATGAGGAAGGCGAAACTGTATAACACAAGAACGTAAGATACGTGAGTGATACCTGCGTCGGAGATGAGTTTCATTTGCTCTTCCGTAGCTCCCATGAACAAGAAACCAGATGCGTAGAGTAACTATCATGATTAGCCTAAAGTCTTCGGATTCTAGAAATAGAACTTACAAATGGTGGAACATATTGGAAACTGTTAGCATCACCGTCCTCGGAGAAGGTAGCCTTATCTTTCAAAAGGAAAGCAATTTCAATAATTCTTGAAAGTCCGGCGGCCATTAAAGTATATCCAAAAACACTGTGGACCATGGTGCTGAGTGGGAGATGCTGTGGGTGACCAGACATAGCCCATCCAGTAATAAAAATGACAAATCCAGGAATGAAATTTCTCTTTGGCGAACCATCTCTCTTTCTGCTCAACCAGACTCCTGCCAAACCAGCAGTCCACCAAATTATTCCCATAGTAGTATGTTGGATATCATTTGCGACCCAAGCGCCACCCCATCTGTGTTCGGTGAAAGTATTGACACAACCCCAAGCTGCGATAACTGCCGAGTCGAAGAATTCTTGGGATCGTCCGGTTTTTCTCAACCAAACTTGTCCAACCAGCATAACAATCGTGAGTAAGATACCATAACCGATGAATGCACTACCCATGATAAAATGTGCGAGACATTGACCGAGATGATCATCACGACAGAAACCCAAAGCTGCGATTCCACCAAAAAGCATTTGTACCCAAGCCACAACTGGCATTGCCTTTCCAACAATTCCATGACCATGAACCGCGACCTTTCGGATCTTTCCGTGGAAACCTTTGGTGATGTGAAATTTGAGGTAGATGCCGAAAACAACTTGAACGGCAAGCATAAGCATCAGGATGTTAGCGAATACTGAGTGAACATTTTTCGCAAAGACTCGTCCTCCGTGTAGATGCCCCAAGAAATATCCCGCCACTGCGATAACTGTTCCTAATATTTGTACAGGTACATGCCATCTATTTCGCACAATCTGAAAACAATGTTAGCATACCACAACGTTCACCCTTATCTTTGTTACATACTCCAAGAACCATTCCGGTCGGAAAGATGATGCCAAAGGCAAACATCTGCAGCAAGATATGAACCCATAATATCGAATCCTACATAATCACAATTGTTAGCATCGCTCAAGCATCCTCCGAATGATTGTGCTAAACCTACAATAGGTTCAATACTCATGGCATCTCCATCTTGAATCTTCGACATATCTCCTCCGTGTGCGTTCGTTCCTTGTGCAAATAGAGCGAGTCCAGAAACGGTCACGAAGGCAAGACGACCACCGTTCATGATGGACATATTTGCACCAGCGTTAATAACTAACGGGTGGGCCCGTGTATTGTCTGAGTGTATAGGATTGTGGCAAGACGAGCCAGATTTCTATTGCAATAGTTGTTTCGAAACGCGCCGATTAGGTCCGAGAGTGTAAGTAGATGCGGCTGCTTATCTCAAAGACAATGAAGTGTTGAGATGATAGGTGGCAGTCAAATCATGCGACGAGAATGAAAGAAAAAGAAAAACAAAAAAAAGGAGTCAATTAGATTGAAAATTTCTTTTCACTTGTATCTGTATATAGATCTGAGATAGATGGTACCGTCGGTAGTTTCAAATATCTACTTCTAATTCCACGATATTAAATTGAGGCTTCGTAACCAATTCGCATCTCGCTGATCATACGACAAATTTAATTGGTGCGGATGCTTCGGCTCCTTCATTCAATATCACGTGAAAATAATGCACAGCCACAAGTTGTGGACTCAGGTTCCCCCTTTTATCAAGATAACACCCCTCTCGTCTGTGTGAATGCAGATCAGCCAGAGTAGTTCCTCATCTTGCATGAAAGAATGCGATAGTAAGTATTGCTGAGGTATGCAGATGCTCTCAATCTATCAAGATATTTACTCCTAGGGTCACCTAGGGTTCTTTGGCATATATCGGTAACACTAATGAACAAGGTAAACATAGGTACACAGCAAGGAAGCTTACGCAATCATTAGCGGGACAGATCGTTTATTCTACGAATTCCATATTTGTTCGCAGCAACCTCACACAGGCGATGGGACATGTTGCAATCGCAATATTAGCCATAAATTTCAACTACACCCTTCCCTCCTCCAACGGCTTAAAGCCATCTGGATTTCCCAGAATCTTCTTGGCGAGTTTCGATCTCCCTCCCAATCATCCTCTTTTGACAATATTCTGTACTTGCACCCATATCTTGGAGATGGCATGTAGTACGGCAGCAATCGCGGCATAAGTCTCGCTGTAAATATCATCATCTTCAGTGTGATTAGATTCTGGTCTCGGATTGTAATACGGATGAATTTTCTCATTGTCGCCAGCTCCAGTTTAAGAGAATGAGGGCATCCAAATGGTGTTGTCATGACCCGAGATCTAAAGAGCTAATTGCACATGCGCTAATCGTTAAATAGCTAGCGTAAGGTATTACAAGCATTCTTATTGGCCATCACATGGTTCTTTTCTCATCGTACATGCCTCCCTGGGTAATATCTAACTAGTTGTGGTTTAAGTATCAATATGAGCATCATCGTTATTTACCCAGTACCTATCAAAGCAAGGACAATTCATGATATTAAAACTCTTTGGGAAGCAACTTCCAAATAAAAACTTTAGTTCATCTTCTGACACAATCTCTTTCTCGGTTTAAGATCGTTAAAAAATCACACAACACCAAAACCAAGCTTCTTTATATCACATCAAGAATTGACCAAATATTCAAGTTCGAACATTCATTCTTGACCATGGCAGCCACAAGTACTGGTACCGGGCAACCAACTAGCATTGCAACTAAACTTTTCTCAACTCAAGAAAATGTCAGCCTCATCGGCATACCACAACTAGGATTTGGAGTCTACCAATGCAAAGGACAAAAATGTATCGATGCTGTCACCGCCGCGTTGAGAGCCGGTTACAGGCACATTGATACAGCTCAGTAAGAGCCCACACATAGTATCTCTAGCTTGGCGACCACCAGAAGTCTCTAACAGCTTATTATAGATACTATGACAACGAAAAGGAAGTTGGTCTCGCTGTCGCAGACTTTATGAAAGAAACCGGCGTAGAACGCAAGGAGATATTCATCACAACCAAGATCCTCACACCCGCTGGATCAGTTGAAAAATCTTTTGAGAAATGTCTGAAGAGTATTGAAGCTCTCGACAGTGAGAACTGTTACGTTGATTTGTTCTTGATCCACAGCCCAAACTGTGGAGCTGAAGGTCGTTTGGAGATGTGGGACGCCCTCCACAAACTGTACAGTCTTGGAAAATCGCATATGATTGGAGTTTCGAACTTTGGTATTGGACATATCGAAGAGTTGGAACTTGCCAGACCTTTTATTTCTCCTCACGTGAATCAGATAGAGGTTTGTGTTTTCAAAGTGGAATATTTGCTGCAATTCTAACGATCTTAGTTGCACCCTTTTTGCCAACAGCGAGTTATAGTTCAATACTGTAAGATCAACGGCATTCATGTTGAAGCTTACTGTCCAGTGGTCAGAAATCAGAGGAGCAATGATCCAGTTCTTCAATCGATCGCAACGACTCACAATAAAACTGTTGCTCAGGTATTGATACGATATGCTTTGCAAAAGAAATGGATCCCTCTTCCAAAGAGTGAAACTCCATCGAGAATCGCCGAAAACGCTGATGTTTTCGACTTTGACATCTCCGAATCGGATATGCGTCGTTTGGATGCACTGGATGAAGGCAGCGAAGGCTCCATTGTCCAAGCTGTTACAAACAGATGAGGAAATTCAGATTACTGTTCATCAGCCTGATAGAATGAATCTGGTGTACTTACACTTTGACACTTTGAGCTCATGTATCCAATAGGTTGTTCAGATATCTATTATGCAAAACAGCACAGGTCAGGAGAATGATTCGCGAAGTTCTTGAGAGGCAACTTCTTTATATGCATTATACCAAAACATTATTTAGCAAGTCTTCAGAATAAATTTTCAAAGATTCTTTTGCTCTATTTATGTTGCTTTGTAACGGTCTACTTAATTATTTCGCATCCCACAATTGAAGCAGCCGCAGCGTATGTTGGGTTTGTTGGTTGTGATCCTACCTACGGCCTAAGCGCCGAACGAATGACGATGACTAGAAATTGTCAGCCACCAACTTCCATAACCAACTGATACAAACCATCTTGATATTCTCTTGTATTCTTTGAAATGAAATTCCGTTGACTCGTAAAGTTTATTGATTTAAAAAGCGCTTTCGATGTGCTTTTTCCTACTGAGAATAAGTGCAAGAGATTACATGTCCGTGAAATCTCAGAACCTCTACACACATTTTCTATATTTTTCTCATTAGTACGATTGGTCAAGGATCAGTACCAGGACACTGGTACATCTATTTCCTGACCGACCTGAATCTCAGACCTTGCTTACCTAGATAGTTGTATCCAACGTTGGTAAGTCATCGTCACTATACAAGCAGCAATTCATCTCAACCATTGTACCACATATTAAACTTCGTACTCTCTATTCCATTCCTTTCACCTCGAACCTGGGCCTTTTAAACTCACTTCCAACTCAAAATTTAAAAATTAACAATGTTTCATAGTAGCAAATCCTCGAAAGTTACTCTGCATAAGAAACTCTTCGCACCGGTGTCGATTACTAGTGCTTTGGGATCTGGCTCTTCGACAGAACCTAAAGCAACGATACCGGTTTTGTTGCCAGCGGAACCGGTATTAGAGATGGAAGTGCAAGAGGAAGTAGAATTACAAACACAGGAACAGAATATTGTATCTGTATCATCAAATCCCGTTTCTTCAGTAACAGAATCTGATTCGGCTTTGCCTCCTGCTGCAATCCCACCCCTGGTTCCCAATACTCATTCGACTACAGATCTAGTAGAACTGCAGGATACTAAAGCAGAGAACAAATTTGTTGCAAACAGTATCCAGGTTCCACCTCCCAGTACTCCTCGGTCTCCTCTTTATTCTTCTTCTTCTGCTTCATTATCGTCACACCAATCCTCACGCCAATCCTCAACCCACAGACGAAACATGTCTTCAACTTCCACCACAACTACACAGTTCGGTTCTCCACCCCCTTCATACACACCTTTCGTTACAAATTCTCTCCCTCCCCAGGCATATCCATATCACGTGCAGAACCAGTACGGCCACACAAACGGCTATCGACCACCGATGGGTAGCATTGGATTTCCAGTGGGTAATCAATTTATAAATGCACCTCTGAATCATCAACTTATTCATAGAACGGGCTTTGCATCTCCGTCTCCTTCTCCGTCTCCAGGTTTGCAACTTCCTGATCTGGTGGATGAGGTGTTGAGATTGAGAGATCGGTTGAATTTATTGGAGGGAGGGGCTTTGACTTTACCGGATGAGAGGGGTAGAAGTACGGGAAGGGAAAGGGATAGAAGAGGGGATATTGGAAGTATTGAGGAAAGAAAAAACAATAAAGCGAAAGAAGTGGAAAGGGAAACTAAAGAAGCGAAAGAGAGGTGGGAAGAAATTGAGAAATGCGGATTGGGGTATGAGGATTTTTTGGACGAGTTTTTTGGTAATGATTATAGTGATTGGAAGATTAAAAGGTTTGATTTTGAGGAGGAGGAGATTGAGGGGGATTTGCGGGTGGAATTGGGGAGAGAAATGGAAGTGGTGGATGAGGTTTGTGATGTGGAAGAGAAGAGTGGAGATGAATACGAAGACGAAAAAGGTGAGGAGGGGAAAGAAGAAGAGGAGGAAGAGGAGGGGACTGAGAGTGAGGAAGATCAAGATGAGGGAAGCGAAAGTGAAGATGAAACTCCCGAAGAACAGAGTGCAGAAGACGAGAAAATTCCCAAACCCGAAGACACAATAACCCTCCTCCCATCCGTATTCGTAGACGAACGAATGAAATCTCGTTTGCATCACTCACACTCATCTTCATCATCCACATTCTCTTCATGTTTTCCCCGCTCTTCCGCTCCCTCAACTCCACGATACAATCAACAGAACTTTCAAGAAACTCGTCTAAAATCTACACCAGTACCTCCGGATCCTCCTCGGAGTATACAACAACAACGAGATCTATCGCTTCCGGATTACGGCTGTTATTACTTTGTAGACGCTGGTTCTATACGAAATATAATGGTTATATACCCTGTTACTTCTTTGCCGCAGAGTATGGATGCTTTGGAAGAGGAGAAGGAGGTTATTAGATGTGTATTGGAGAGATGGAACAGAGGGAATATTGTAAGTCTTTTTCTTACTTCATGTTTTCCTTGTGTACTATCGCTCTTGTTCTGCAGTTTCTGTGCTCTTCATTAGTTATCTTGTACGAGCACAATAGCACGATGAAGACGAAAGCTAACAAGATATCCTACTAGGATAAATATGGGCATCGTCCATCAAAAAGAGCATACGCTGCTATTATCTAGTATGTTCATCCTGTCTCCTCCTTAATCAAACACAAACTAAGCCCTCTAGTTCCGATCCACAAGCCCCTCTCCCACGCAAAAAACTACGCGTAGCACTTTCCTTCACCCCCATATATCCACCCACCTCATCTTCCATATCTCCCATTTCCACAATCCAAACTCCTACAAATCCAGAAGACATAACGACAGATACGTCTATTTACATCAGTACTACGAATGGATGCACTTCCTTTTCACTGAGCAATAATAATGGAGTTATTGATTATACGAAGTATAAAGTGAAATATAGTAATCAGGATGTGCATGAGAGACACGATGGGATTTTGGAGGTGGGGAGGTTGAGGGGAGCATTAGGGTGCGAAGTATTTGGGAAGAAAGGCGATGAGGGAGGAGACGGGAAGGGAGAAGGGAGGGGAGAGGGGAATGGCACAGAAAACAAGATAGGAGACGAAGAAGAGTATTGGGAAAACGAAGTTATAAAAGACAAGTGGAAAGATGACAGTCACGACGTAAGATGGGGAGACGATAAGAAAGACTACGGGTTGGGATTAGAGGATGGGAAAGAGATAGAAGGGGGTTGGATTTGAAGTAACTGAGCCTCAACCTCCCTATGCCCCTTCTATCTCTGCACGATGTTCCCTGCTTTTAATTTTAGTAGAGGAAACGCCAAAATAAGAGTCAAAAGATACATACAACAGTGGGGATTCGCTGGTGGTCACCCACCCAACTACTAATCCACCGATCTGAAGCTTGTGTATGGCAGAGCGGACGGGATGCCCAATTCTCTTCAGTCTATGGTCGTATGTGGAAGAGTTGTTGTCAGCTGGTACTATATAAGATGGATACTTGAGACGGGAGAACTGTAGGACGAGATATCGGAGGGATCATGTTGGGAGAAGAACGAGTCTGAATGTTTTCTTTCGAGATGGAACTAGGAATTTTTGGAGCAAATACAGAGTCCGATAAAGTAAGCGATAAAGGGGAATAGACAAGAAGATGTAATGTTAAGGGTTGCCAATCGCTCCACTTGAGCGAGACGTCCCAGTCCTATTGAATCCAGATTCCGTACCAGCCAGACATTTTGTAAGTTGAGAACCTTGAGAATCCACATGTCGTTGCCCCCAGTGTAGTCAACAGGAGCCTTGAGCCATAACTAGACAGGCATCTTGTATGCTATGGGGCAATAGTCAAAGCCTAAATGTGGCGCCCTCCCTTGAAATAGACAGCATGGAATCGTGCTTTTGAAACCTTCGAGACATTTCTTGTGAATTATGCATAACCCTAAGATCCCTAACTATTCTCCTTCTTTCCTTCAGGTTCCCGTCTGTCAAGAATTTCATCCACAATCCCCATCTCCAACGCTTCCTGCGCACTCAAAAACTTGTCTCTCTCCATCATCTTCTCAATTTCTTCCAGGCTATGTTCTTTCGTCAAATGCCTCTTGTAAATCTCATTCAAGCTCTTTCTGACTCTCAGAATCTCTGTCGCATGAATCGCAATATCCGTAGCTTGACCTGAATACCCTCCACTGGGTTGATGTATCATAATCGAGCTATGCGGTAAACAGAATCTTTTTCCTGGTTCTCCTCCACATAGAAGAAGCGAACCCATGGATGCGGCCTGACCGACGCACACAGTGGAAACGGGCGATTTGATGTAAGTCATTGTGTCGTAAATGGCGAGACCGGCGGTGACAGAGCCGCCTGGGGAGTTGATGTATAGAGTTATGGCTTTTTCTGGAGCGTCGGATTCGAGGTAAAGAAGTTGGGCTACAACAGCCGCCGAAAGGGATGAATTTACTTCGCCGTTTAGACAGATGATTCGCTCCTGTTTTTTATCAGTAACGTTACTTATGATTGAAGATTAAAGCATCTGCATGAGGGGAACACACTTGTAAAAGCTTAGAAAATATATCCGCTGATTCTCTTGTCGTCAGTACTTTATATTTCCGACACCAAACCCGTTATAAATATACATACAGGTACGCCATCCACCTCCCTATCTCATTAGCACACGTTCGCAAATTCATAGGGTTCTAAATCCTGCTCACAATCGTCTCTGTGATGTATGGTACGGGTGTCCATGATTTATTTGGTTCAGATTGCGAGGGCAAAGAAGAAATAGATCTAATTCCTGCAAAGACAGCCTTGCGCGCTGCATGCGATCGGAATACCCGTGTTGCGAGCATTTTGAAGTGTAATTGATGATGTGACGTCTGTAAGAGTAGTGGGGGTGATGGACCTAGATAATGAAGCTTGGTTGGGAGACGCGATTGTCGCGTTTTCGCTTGAGCTTTGATTGATTGATTTTGACGAACATCCTTAATTTATACCCCTCCAATTTTTGATTTTTTTGATTTGTTGACGATAGTGATATGTGGTATGAAGGGATGCAGAATCTTTCATGGCAGAAGTGCTGGAAGGTACTTGAAATACTCTAACTGGAATTATTCTACATCGGCTTCGAAACCAATTGCGAACGTCAAAAACTTCAGAAATATTACATCCAGCTTTGCGGCCACAGAAGACTCGAGTCAGGGAGACAATGCTGATGGCACTCAAACCACGCTTTTAGACGAAGGAGAAGGGCGAAAGAATGGATATGGAAAAGGAACCAAGCGACGAGAGTTACCTCTTTCACCACTCATGGATCCCTTATTTCAAGAAGCCCGAACCAAACATTCGGCTCCTAAACCGCAACCGAAGAAAGAAGGCCGAACAGCTTTCCAAGAGCAACTTGCCAGAAATCCTTATGGTATTATGGCTTTTAATTCTCTATAATGCTTAGTACTAACACACCCTCAGCTCTCGCCCTCGCAACTCCCGTTCGTCAATGTACCGCAACACAACTTTCGCTCCCTAGTTTCTTTCTCCAAGACTTTACAATAATGGCGCATCCCACCACATCAGCCCCCTGGCACGTTCCACGAAATCTCTCTCCCCATTCACCTAAAGTTGCTTCCTCCGAGCAAGACGCTTTCCACACCCCCTCACTAGGGTCCACCACCTACGTAGCAATGCGCCAACCCCTTCTCCAGTCCTTCTTCAAGACAAAATCTGGATACACGGGGGTATACAAAAAGTTCGGGCTCATGCAGGCGAAAAGTACAGCGCGGAAACATGTTGTGCTACAAGCGACATGGAGATCGGATATGGATACCTTTTTACTAGAATTAATGAGGAGGAGGACAGCGGAATTATTGGAGTATCTGTGTGGGAAGAAGAGTTATATACACAAGTGTGCGAATTGGGAAGAAGTCGAATTTAGTGAGCAGACTGGCTGTGTATTGTGGATGGGACAAAAGCTTGCTTCGACGGAAGAAGGGGAGCAGGGGCGGGAACAAGAGCAAGAGCAAGAAGTTCCTCCTGGAGAGTTCGAAATCAAGAGAATTGGACCTGGGGGAAGAAAAGCTGTGCCTGTGTTTAATTTGAGGACAATGATGGGTAATGAGTGGATTGAGAAGATCAGAGAAGGGAATCGCATATTTGGGAATCAGATCTTGGTTGTCAAACATAAGAATGCGACCAAAGAGATACAGATGAGACTATGGAAGTTGCAGGGTTATGTTGCTACGTATGGAGGGATGCCAGACGGAGATGTAAAAATGCCTACGAAGGCTACGCAGTCGACGAGAATCAGCACCAGGTCGACAAATATTGGCGACTCCAAATCTAGGAAAATCTCTAAAGCTTTACGTTAATCCTGAAAGGGCTTGAGAGGCAAAAATAAATATTTCAAATTAGATTATAACTATGGCGTAACATCGTAATGACTTTCCTAATATCCCAAAAACGCCATTATATCTTCGTTAAAGTCTCATAGATCACAACTTCGATTTCTCCGCTTTGGTAGCATCCTCATCACATCTAGCCAAAATCCAATCCCCAACGTCTTTAGCGAAAACCTCGCGGTTATCCGGCAGGTCCGCATGCAATTGATGGAACCATCCCTCATATCTCTTGAACTCCTTATCCGTCAAACTTGTCTGCTGGTTGAACCACTTCTCACTTCCCTCGAAACTCGTTCCTTTATCCTCCGTCCCATGTCCTAACCACAAGCTTTTGACCCCCGGATTCAATTTCGTCTTTCCCTGATTCATCGCAGCAGTTCTATCCAACATCCCAGCTAGTCCCTCTAGTGTTCCCGTGTTGTGCATCAGCGTATCCTCATTTATCGACTTTATAACCTCGGGATCTCGGGTAAGATTCTCAGGTGGAAGCTTATTCACCATTTGTTTATGTGGTAGAAACTTGCCCGCCAATCGTCCAAATAATACAGTAAGAAAACTCGGTTCAAAGCCCTTTGGAAAGGCAATGAAAGGACTCTCCAAAATGAAGCCACGGATGCTATTCATCAATTCCGCATATTGTGGATCACTAGCCAACGTAATAACCTCACCACCACCCATCGAATGGCCCATCAAAAAGACCGGGACTGGGGAAGGCAATTGCGTCTTAATAAACGAAACGATATCAGAGATGACCAGAGAAGTTGGACCTGTGAGACCTTTTTCGGAGGGCTTGGTGACGCTGCGACCCCATCCTCTTTGGTCGAAAGCGTGTACTTCAATTCCGCGTGAGGCGAGTGTGGGAAAGAGGATGTAGTAACGATTTATGTGGTCGGAGAAGCCATGGATGAAAATTAGTTTGGCTACAGGAGGGGCATTAGGCTGGAGATGAAGTTAGTTTGTGTTGAAATCGAGCTGAGGAAGGGAGGGGTCAACGGACTTTCCAGGTTTTGGTATAGAGGGATTGAGAACCAATCTTATGAGTTCCTTCAATTTCTGTAAACATATTCAAATGAGTACTTGAGATGTCAATTTCAAAGGTAGATTCGAATCAATTGATGATATGTTGTTGAGATGACGTGAAGCAAGATGAAAGACACCTTCGGCTTTCAAGTGGTAGCTGAGGCCCTTGTAAACAATGCGGCCGCTAGCGTAGGCTAGAAGGTTGCATGTGAAAAGCGGGAGCCATCGATATCAAAATAATTAAACTCAAACATCAAATTACTTTTAAAAGTCACGATGTTAAGAACTCAGCGTGCCATATCTTCTTGTATTAAAAGAATAAGTCCCTACAATACAATATGCTCACCATGTAGTCGTCGGTCTTTCACTCAAAAATTAGTCAGAGGTAGGAAAAAATATCTTATATTTCCAGTTTCCACAACTTTACTGATTTTTTCGATTCTTTTGAAAAGCCAATGACATTGTTCTGTTGAAGCCGGAGACGAATCCAAGGGCGGTACCTACTTTGTCGAAGCCTCTAAAACCAGGTGATTCTCTTGTATTCAGGGATCACAGAAAAGTCAAGGCAGATGACGTTATTGGAAAACCATACAGGTCTGTAGTGGCTGGTGGTAGAAGAGCATTATTTCGCATATATGAACCTACACTTGGTCAATACTGTGATAATGCTCCAAGGATTGTGACACCTGTAGGTTCTTTTGTTTGGGATTTATGATGCCATGGCTAATTTTGATAGATCTATTCCTCAGATGCAAGCTTAATTGTTTCTTTACTGGATCTCAATTTTAGGGCAGTATCATCTAGTCAGTATGAGAATGCTATAGAGAGTGAGAAGTTCTGTCCCAATAGGCCACTTAATGAACCTGTTGTTTCGCAAGATGAAGATAATTTGAAGCCTGCATCGTCTCCTAAGAGTGAAAATCTGGAAACTACAGATACTCTACAGAAGGATAATATGCTGGAAGATATTAAGGGACTGCCTAGCGAGCCGACGGAACTTACAGATGCAGAAATGTACGAAGATCTGGATTTCGTGGAACAAAATGATGAAACACTGGAGATTTTCGAGGCTGGTACCGGTGCCGGTTCATTAACTTTGCATCTTGCTCGAGCGATCCATGGAGCAAACACAAGGGCTCCGCCAATACCGAAGCTTCCTAAGACAAGGGGAAAGGTTGACCCAGATGACGATATCTACCGATTGGGAGGCGATTTTGGCAAGAGAAATGAGGAACTGACTAATCTATACAATGAATGGCGTTCACAGCGACGAGCTGTGATTCACAGCTTAGATGCGGATGAACGCCACTCGAGACATGCACAAAGAACTGTAAGAAACTACCGTCATGGAGTGTATTTCCCCCACATCGATTTTCATGTTGGTAGCATTCATGATTACCTTTCGAAACGTTTGGAAGAGACTAAAGGTGTTTTCCTCGATCACGCCATCTTAGATATACCCGGTATACAAGACGAGATGGAAATCGTGGGAAAATGCATGAAACCTGACGGGCGTTTAATCACATGGTGCCCTAGTATCACACAGCATATGAAGTGTCTGGAAATTGTGAAAGGGAAGAAATTGCCATTCGTGTTGGATCGGGTTTTAGAACTGGGATCGCAACTTAGTACAGGAGGACGAGAATGGGAAGTGAGATCAGTAAAGCCTCGAGCACTGATCAAAGCCGAGAAGAAAGCCAAAGCTGAGGAAATGGAGAGAGAGGACAGATCCAAAACTGCCTTTGCCGTTAACGAATGGCTCACTAAGATTTCAAGCACAGAGGTGGATGAGGTGGCCAGTGAAGATGTAGAGATATCCGAATCTGAAAGTGTTACTGTCCAAGCAAGTACAGGAGAAGATAGCGATCTTACTGATATGTCAGGATGGGAAATGATATGTAGACCTAAAGTTGGAGATAGAATAACGGGTGGAGGATTCGTTGGAGTTTGGAAGAAGATGGACATGGACGTTTAACAAACTTTGTAATATGTAACGTTCCTGTATCAATGTATCAAGATATACGTATAAAAAATGACAACACTACAACAATCTCGTTTCACTATTATTGTGGAACAGTCGCTCGCGCTGCCCATGCATTCGTCTCGTGTTAAGGAAATTTATGAAGTTTGTCAGGTTAAGGTTACGGAAGACTAACGACTAATTAGGATTAGCGTTGCTTATACCCCAGATCTTCAAAGAACTTACCCATGAATAGACCAACGATGCAATCATCAAAGTCTCCCTTGATTTTTTTCCCATCCGCTTCCCCCTTTTTTGTTTAGTTTTGTGTGAGTCTTGCAATTGGAAGACCTACCCATCGTGATTGAAATGACCTATCAATAACTTTACGGATGGGACACCTAAATCATTCCATCAAGACAAGCTTAACGAACTGCGTGAGCTAGAAGCCGTTTGCGCATAGGTCAATAGAACCACAGCTTGTTAAGATGACGAGAAGAATCGTAGGCGTACCTTTTAAAGTTTTTATATCTCCTACTCATCTAACTCTATACAGGTTCGCACAGCGACGCAACTCGGTGCGCTTGCTCTATTTACCATAATCATCCTGTGGTTCCTGGATAATCGATATCGGGTTCTACCTTCTGCGCTTCATGATTATATGCCAGCACATCATCCGGGCCTAGTGATCACAGATATTACTGTCACGAAATGCTCGAAGATCAATCTTTTCACAAGCTGCAAGCTGGATTCGGAAAAATGGCATCGTATCGAGAAGGACTTGTATTTGGGACAGGGTTGGGTGAATAGCGCTTATATGCATGTGCAAAGGAAGAAAGAAGAGGAACTTTTATCGGAAGATAAGGTTGTTATGGATGTTAGTGTTGGGAGGCTGGATCCAGCGACTGCAACGAAAGGCGAGGGCGATGAGAGATGGGAATCAAGACCCGCTGGATTATGGCTGAAACGATCTGCCAAGCGCCACGCGAGTGATTCGAATAAGGCAGTTACTTCTGTGGATGTGTTATTCGGAGCAGATGCTGTGGACCCCAGAGATGGATGGGAAATGACCGGCACACCATTATTGTTGGATTCTTCCGGGGAGCTCCAAGAAGCCAGACTTAGCATACGAAGAGGCAAGCTCATAATGCCAACCAAACCAACGCCTCGTATAAGGGATAATGGGAAATTCAAGATCCTACAAGCAGCGGATTTACATCTGAGTACAGGGACTGGACATTGTAGAGATGCAATGCCTGAAGATGGTGGTAAATGTGAAGCTGATCCTAGAACATTGGAATTCGTTGGAAGGTTACTTGATGAAGAAAAGCCCGATTTGATTATTCTTAGTGGTGACCAAATTAATGGAGAGACGGCACCGGATGCACAGAGCGTAAGATTGCCCTTACAAAGTTTAACCATTCATCGTCTAACAGTTTAGGCCATCTTCAAATATGCTGAATTGTTTATTAAACGCAAAATCCCATTTGCGACAATTTTTGGTAATCATGATGACGAGGGATCTTTACCGCGAGCTCAACAGATGGCATTGATCGAGTCTCTGCCATACTCGTTATCAGAAGCTGGCCCAGAAGAACTCGAAGGGATAGGAAACTACATTGTGGAAGTCCTTGCCCAGGGTGGCTCCAAGCATTCTGCTTTGACAATCTACCTGTTGGATACACATTCTTATTCACCAGACGAGAGATCATTTAAGGGGTATGATTGGCTGAAAAAGAACCAGATTGATTGGTTCAAACAAACTGCTTCGAGTTTGAAAAAAGCCCATGAAGGATATTCCCATATTCACATGGATCTAGCCTTCATTCATATACCGCTTCCTGAGTATAGAGATGATACCCTTTACAAACAGGGCGCGTGGAGAGAAGGCGTCACTGCTCCTGGTTTTAACTCTGGATTCCGAGATGCACTCGTAGAACAAGGTGTCGTAATGGTTAGCTGTGGGCAGTAAGTATCAAATTTCTTGCTTGTTAGGTTGTGCTAATTAGACATGCAGTGATCATGCGAATGAATACTGTTCTCTTTCTCGAAAAGAGGATGAAAGTCCTGCTCTTTGGATGTGTTATGGTGGTGGTGCAGGATTTGGAGGATATGGAGGGTATGGAGGGTATCATCGTCGAATCCGTCTTTTTGAAATCGATATGAATGAAGCTAAAATAGTCACCTATAAGCGCCTTGAATATGGAGATACAGAGAAGCGAATCGATGAACAGATCATAGTTGAAGGGGGGAAACCGGTAGCTCCATCTACATGATTCATATGGGTAATCGAGCATAGGGAACAGGTGTTGGGGAATTAAAAGTTCTACAAGGAGCAATTTTCTCACAAGGAAACGGCCAGGCATTTGCATTCGGGGTTTTCGCAATCGGAATTTCCTACTTTTCGGTGCGCTTCAGATGTTTCACTACACTATCCAAGTCATATAGTGTTTATTGGATGCATTCGTGTATAATCTATACCATTTCTATTCTCGCAAAAAGAGCGGCGTGGAATAGGCGATTCCTAATTCGCCCCACGAATACATTTTCCTGTACTTCACTCAATGCTACATTTTATCACACGGATTTGTAACGACATCTCCTACAACGGTGTTTACGATCATGTTCATTTTCAATATCCTCATATAAAGTCAAGAAAAATATCTTTGATATTTTCTACTTCAAAGGGATTTACCGAATTCTCGTATTTTCATACCAGGGTCTATTTTTAGCATTATCCAATAACATCCATTATTGAAATTAAGAGTAGATACTTGCTTTGATATGGAAGTCGATAAAATTCATTGGGAATATATGATATGAATGTATCTGAAGTATGCATCACTAGAACGGGACTTATATGAAATATCCCGCACACCACTCCCCATCACTAGAACAAGGAAAACATGCGATTATATTTTCTCCCTATCAGCTCACCAACGCGATACGAACATCGTTCCATGCTCCTTTGGTTGACATCTTACGCGTTATCATCTGTTTTGTTAATTGATAATGATGTTCTCTTTTTAAGTTTGGAAAGCTGTAGATTTACGTAGAGCATGGCCACTAGCGAGCGCACTGATGGAAGGGATACTCCACTCCCCAACCTTTCAAATACTTCCATATATCCAAGATTCAACAGTTCCATCTTAGAATCTACGTCCTCATTGCTCAACCTGGACCTGGAATGTGTTTGTTCACAATGGTAGAAATATTCAAGTCGGTATTCATAAAGGTGTTCTTGTATTCAGTTCTTGTGGTGTCCCTATGTTCTATCAGTCCGTGCATTGAGCTTATTCGGCATAGCTTCTTCCCTCTCTCGAGCCTCCTCAAGCTATCTACTAGGTATTTAGCTCTCGAAGCTATTGTAGTACCCTGCACTTGAGAGAACTTCCATTAAGTAGGTACCTCCCACTCACCTCTTCACTTGAATTTCGTGATATCACTGAATCCTTACTCCCATCACAAATCGATCTCCCACTTTATAACGCAAATAAATCTCAAGATGTTCAAACGTCCTGCTGCCGCGGGCATGTCTTCATTCACGGGTCCTGCCAAGAAGCAATGTTTAACGAAGCCCCCTGTCAAAGAATGTTTATCTCTCAGCAAGGATGACTTGGTTTCCAAAAAAAAATCATTTGGAAGTTGTGCAGCTTTTGATGGATCTCAGAGGTGCTTATCAACATCTGCTACTTGAATATCGAGAAAAAATTGAAAAATTGAAAGATATGAAACATGAGGCTCAAGAACATTCTGCAGCAATTGAGGAGCTGGAAGATGAATTATCAGATTACAGAAAAATTCCATATTGCAGATTCGCCAATCAAATTGCAGAAGTCACAAGACTCATACATGGCAACGATCAATTGGAGGCTAGGACTACCAACAATGAGGAAATCCTCGGCATTCTCCTCGAGGGTAACAAGGAATTCAAGGAAATAATGGACGAGCTTAAGACTTTGAACAAAGATAATGCGACGAAGATCGCACGGCTCGAGGCGTAAATTGCGAAAGTAGCAGCTGAGCCAAGAAGGAATACTGCTGTGGCAAAACAAAATTCTTTCGATGTAAGACAGCAGGCAGAACAACTACAGGAAGTGATGCGCAGTGCTATTCGAGTACAAATAAAATGGGCGTATGTGTTGAATCCCTTTATCTCCTAGCCTTCCTGATGTTTCCCTCTCTTAATATCACTCCCATCCCTATCTATGCCTTTTAAACTTCCTTCTCACGCAACAAAATCTCATCATCTATTATCTTCTATAACATCGAGAATGCAGAAACCAACTGACTCTCATTTCTATCAGACCAAGTTGCAAGACTTCCGGAAAACGCTGGTCTTATACCTGCGTAGTTCCATCTGCAGATGTCTTCTATACTCTTTATAATATGGACGCCGCGACTGAGCTCGCAGCAAAGAAACAGTGGAAGCAGAAGAAAATTAGTATACAGGGCTTCAAAGAGATCGTCGGTAGTTGCTTTGTCAAGGTAGGTTTTATTTTCTATCACACTTCATACCGTTTGGTCTTCGATGGTAGCGGAAGGGTCAGAGTGTTGGATCTACATTCTGGGAAATCAAATATATCGAGGTTCCGATCAAATACTAACAGCGAAATATAGATTCGATACAACTCCTTGGAGCTCGTTGGCAAAGATGTCTTTTTGAAATGGAATGCAGGAGCAAACAGCTTTACTGTCAGTGGGAAATACGGTGTTACCGCCATAGCCTACCTAGAGTGAACTTCTAGTTTCTAGTTTCTTCTTTATTTTTCTATCTAATGCTGAGGGGGGTTGGATATCACTGGAGATATTCGTTCATTCATGGGGGTAGCAAGCTCAAATTGTACTATACGGCTCAAGTTATTATAAGTGATGATATTATCATTGTGAAATTGGAAAGAAAGAGCTTCTCAAGACGGTTGCTTCGTATTATGTACACAACATCCTGGACATGCTGTGAGAGGTCATTTATCTGAGGAGAAGAGTTTCTGGACCATTATGTTGAAACAATTTAGTTCAAATTCAATGATAAACATACCACTAGACGTTCCAAAGCTCGAGAACATGCAGCGATGTCACCATCATGGTTTTCATCAATTATTGATAACATTGCTACCTGTTTTTTTGAGCCTCGTTCGAATATTTTTATCAACTACCCAAATCTACTTATATCAATGGAAAATTGTGCTTAAATCTTGTGCTTATGGTTCTGTTGTTTTGATCGTGATGACAAGAAATCATTTTCGGTTATGGAAACTCCAAGATTGTAGGTGAGGTCAATAATTCAAACTTTTGAATAATCACATATACTACGTGAACATAATTCATTAATTACCTATACTCCTGGCCATCTATATCTTGCCTCAGTTTCCCATTCCAATGGAAAGGACTTCAATATCTTTTTTTCCTCAATCGCCTTTAATGCTACAACTTTGCGTGTGTCAAGCTATGCAATCTTGTCTTCTTCAATGGCTATAACTAGTAGCGTAGAGACCATTGCGTCTTCATTAATCGATAATGAAGTTGAGGAAAATTATGAATTCGAAAACAATAGTTCTGCCGGTAAGTAAGACGAGAAGTCGACAAACTCTATACTATCGATGTGGAACGATTAATGCGAATACTGCTATTTCTCACCCTTTTTTCATAGCTTAGAAAATTAAGGAGTTTAGATGGTTCCTCGCATCCGTTCATTCGTTTTTGGAAAATTTCTCTGTGGGCTGGATACTGCTATTACCACCAATATTCAAGGAAGATATAAGCATTCTGCTTATAGAACAGATGACTTTGTCGGCAGAAAGATGTGAAATCGTTAAGAGTTGGAATAGGGGAGTTTGGTGTATGGAATTGTAAATAGATAAGGTCGAATGTTTGAAGTTCTGCAAGAGCTTTCTGATGAGGCAGACGCTTCGCTAATGCTGATTTATAACAGGTCACAACTCTGTAGAGATCATGGATCTGCGGAACTTATCCTAAGAGTCTGCTCTGGGAATAGGTTAGGATTCGTCTTTTCAAAATCGGGTATATCATTAATGTGTTGATAGGGCACTGGGTCTACTGTGTTCAATGTTCTTAATTCTTCAAGCGAAAAGCCAACTGATCGCAATGAATGATTGGTATTGACGGAATCGGGCATCTTGACATTCATTTAAGAGTTGAAGAATTTCAGTTTGTCTAAGCACAATGCTAAATCAGTTCCATTCATAGCTTGCTTCAAAAATGGGGTATGAGGTACTTGCCTTCTGAATAATCGAGTGCAAAAAATATGAAGCTATCTCTTTTATTAACAGTGCTGACTATGCTATCCCATTTCAGCCGCCAAAGGTGCCAGTATTAACGGATCACTTGATAGACTCATTGCAACTGCTCCCGTCTGAAAGGGCGGGAGCATCTACCTCCCATTTTCAGAACCTGAAGCGAAGATTTCGCTCTCGTCATTGAACTTGAGAATCTGATGCTTCCTAATATGCCGCTGTTGTTGAATGGCATTACCGTACAGGGGAATTCGTTGGTGTCACGAATTGCATAGACGAATGCTAGCTTTTGTAGCAGCGAATGTGCGAAGACTACGGTGCGGGAGTTCATGGCTCGAGAGGGTATTGAAGTGGCATTTGGGGTCTTGAGGGGGAAATGAGGTACTGGCGGTTTTTGGTTGTGTAAAAGGAGAGGCTTAAGTAGAAGGATCCGGGAGTTGTGTGCATTAAGCTTTAAATCTTTCGAAGGATGCTGGGAATTGGTAAAGAATTGATATGGAAGAAATCTCTGGGGACGAAAGAATCTTCAAGATATCGCGCTCAGTTGGATTAATTGACTAAGATATTAGTGCTGTTCCTGCTCCCATGTGATATGATGTGCTATTAGATCTCTCTGCACTTGCTTTAGATGTGATACCTTAAAGTTGCCGTGCCTTTCTCCCGGATAACATTTGCCATTTTCATCCGCCATCTGCCATAAACTTGAAATTTTGTAGCCTCTAGTTATTACGCAGGCTCCAGGACGTTGTATAGAATGGGTAACGTATCGATTAGACGATTTATTGGATGGAAAGGCCTGATGGTAAGGTAATATTGGTTTCCCCTAGACCTCTCTCTTTTTACTTTCGCAACGTCCAGTATAACACCTCGTGTGACCTTGCTTTGTACACAGTTTGAAGATATTCACTGGAAGAAACCTGGAATGCTGTACTGAGCGTGAACAGATGTCGAGGAAGTGGTGAAACTGCTAGAGAGACGGCGAAGATACAGATGACCGTACTGGGGGTGGATCGTCTTGGTCATGAATCTTTGATGGATAATTTCACAACGCAAGAAGGCTGGAGAAACGATGTTGGAGAAAAAATCAAGGAAAGAAGCAGAGAGAAACAGAGAGAGGTCGATAGATGCGAGTTTCATCCTGTTTGGAACGATACGATGCGTGTGGATACTAGATGTGCTGCTACCGAGGACCGTGTGAGATTGACATGGAGTTTGATGTTAAACTTACGATTATCATCAGGAGAAGAAGGCAAGATGTGCTTCACTGGATGCCTTTTCAGAGTAGTAGACGCTGCAACTCTCATGGTCTGTTAAGCAATCATGAAGATAAATGAATTGAGAATTTTCCGACACTAGATTTGGAAGGAGCGATGCAGTGATCAAACCGCGATTAGAAACTTCATATATCTACACAACATAATTACTACTTAAAATCAATTGTTCAACATTCAAATCATTACATGAAAATCACGAGATCAAAGCGTCACTTTTAGCGAAATATCATCCATCCATGGAGGGGGAATTCTTTTACGATAGGATAGTCTGCGAATACATTCGACACATTTCGTATCTGCTGAATAGCAATTTTTCGATGTCTAGCCCTCCTTAATCCCTCCACTGAAGCTCAGATCTGGCTGAATTTGGAAACTTCGCTCACAGAGATAAATCTAGGTTCTCGCGAAATCGAAACTAAAAAGGGCGCTAAAATATAGTCACTTAGTAGTACATAATGTTTATTTTCCAGCTAGACAAATTGTAAATCACCATGCCAGTTCAAATGGAAATTCCTATGCGTATTTTTTCAGCTCCTGTAAACTCTTCTATTATTCTCATATCATTTGGATCATTCGTATCATCTCGACAACAAGAAGAATTCGTATCAAACATACAATCAAAGGTAAGATACATCATATTATCATTCTAACAGATTTGAAGCTCAAAGATTTAGTAACTTCCAACCAGTATCTTACAACAGCAACCATGACAACGATTCGACTTCAGACCAAGGTGATGAAGGCCACACGGGCCAGAAATGAGAGAGCTCGACGCCGTAACAAAGCCTCTATTCAAGCTTCTTTGGCAGATGATGGGAGAAGGAAAAGCACTCCTCCATCCCAGTCTGTCGCCGCAGTCAAGCCAGAGAAACTCAAGGCTCGTATCTCAGGCTTCAAGAATGGTGATGCCGCTTCTCAAGCAGTCCTCGCTGCCGAACCAAAGAAGCACACGATACTCATCCCGGGACCCAAGAAGGCTGAAGCCTCTGCCCAAACAATTTCTGCTGGAAAGGTGAAGGCTGAAGAAGAAGATGATGAAGAAGATTCAGCTCGTGTTGTCCTGGCCCGAACATTGCCATATAAGCCAACCCGGTTGAGATTCACTCCTGGGAAGCCAGCAGTTGTGGTTTGAAGACGAGAGGGGAGATAGGATGGAGATGGAACAGGAGAAGTTGTACTAGGCCAAGGGTAGAATGACACAAATAATTGTTCTGTTATGCATCTTGGGAACATACCACAGCGACACCGGAAGAACCATTGATATACCTATCTGCTTCTTCATTATTTGGCCCTGAATCTATTCTGACGGTCATACAGCTAGATAATCTAATAGATTTTTTTTTACTGATATTTGTACTTTTTATATCATGTCTATGATCATTGTGACAGTAATTTGACAATAGGATACTACAATGTTCAGTTCTTACTCAGCCACTAGATGTCAAATTCCAATATTTATAATTTTCCAAAGAGATAGATATCAAACAGACGCTTCTTTTCACTAATCTGTGCGGTTTGAAAACGATATATAATCATAATTGTGACAGTAACCTGATAACGGAATATGGCATTATGCAGTTTTTGCACAATCAACTGAATGCCAGTTTCCAATACTTGGAAGGAAAGTACGTAAGTCTCCCCTTCGAGAGCTCCTTCCATGACGGTGCAGCCAGCACAGCCAGCACGTGTGATCTCATGGTTTCCCCCTAGACACAGATAGCTTCCTACTAGCATATACTAATTCCTCGTCCATGACTCTGCAAGCTTCACTTTCGATTGAGCACGTGGGTGTTCTTGCTAAAACTGAATGGTTAAATGTATGCCCCCAGTCGAATGTTCCTTCCTTTCCTTTAAAATATCACCATCTTAAGAATCCCATCTCAAGAATCCCATCTCAAGGACCCCATCTCACTGGAAAGAACGTAATCCAATATAGATTTCAAAACCTCAAGAGCTCAATACGAAGGTAAGCTACCAATCATACAAACTGCATTCCTCCCATGATAGTTCTCTCATATAGTTCTCACAAAGCACGACACTCAGCCACGAATCAACATCGTCCACCCACTCATTCTCGACAAAAAACGAAACAATGGCACGAATCGAACTAGCACCACGACCCAAAGTGGCACGGGGAAACCTCATTCCCAAGATGGCGCCCGTTGTAACACAATCCCTAGCTCCAAAGCCAAGGAAATCCTCCAAGAGAGGTAACAAACGTAGAAGGGGTAAGACTTTAATCACAAAGGCAGTCGAGAAACTCGCTGCCGTTCTCAAGAGGCCACGGTCTACGAATATTGAAAAGGCCGAGGCCTGTTTCAAAGTTACGTATGCAAAGATGAAAGCATACGAACAGGAAGAAGAGGGCAGAGGAAAATGGAACGCCGCTGCTGCAAGGAAACTCGAAGCTCGACTTGGCAAGACTTTCCATGAGGATAAAATGAATGAATATCTTGAAGCTGCCAAAGAAGAGTGTAGAGGGGCGTCTGATATCTACTGCGGAGTTCCTAATCTGCCAGAATTCCTTCGAACGGAATTTTGGACCATAGTGGAATACTGGAATCAATACCCTGGCGGCAGAGAGGGTACATTTATTGTTTACAAGTATGATATGCCAGATGGTGGTATCAGATTTGCGTTAAGAGATGGAACTCAAGTAAAGACTGGGCGCTCAGATGACGTCGGTCTTTATGACAAAGGGGGTAATATGCGATAGAGTGGTGGTCACGAAGGATCTCTTTCCTGCATTTTGGCAAACGTTTTTTTTTGTATATAATAGTATCAACGTAGCGATGAGTGCGCACCTCATGATCATACACTTCATAATGTAATCAATAATCCATACATAATAACGCTTACATTTGGTGAAAATCAATTGCGTATTGAAATGACCAATAATTGATAGCATCATACGTTGTGCAAACATCCAGAGCAATAGCCACGGCTTATCGCACAGTTTGAACTTTTAAGATGGCCGACATTCCGGCTTTGAAAACAAAGAACACACTTATCGGTTTCAAATCTCGACTTCTCTTTCCTCAATTTTTTCTGGGTTGAGATTAAAACAAATTTTAACAGATCCATTCTCACCCTACAGCATTCTCGCTTAAGCGTGTCCAACTCGCGTAAATTACAGCAGAAAAGGCCATGGTGTCGGAAATGTAGGTGGTCTATAACTTCGACCTCTATCATATAATGAATCAAATCTGTATGAATAATACATCCTACATCGAGGTTGTCGCTTCATAACTTCAATCACATATACATATCTTGGCTTGCAAAACACAAACTTCGAGGAATTACATAAGATTTTCATTTTCTACATTAAAGTTTATTTGGGAAAATAAGCGATCGTGGGGCTAATACCATGAAACTGGATGCCCCAGATACACAATGATCAATGAATTTATGGGGTTTGAAAGTACTACAGGGATTTCGATATGGTGAAATACGTGAAGCTCATGCAATAAACAAGCACGACGATTTTAATGCTTCAATGATTGCTCGAGAATTTTACTGGTGAATAATTTCTTTCCCAACTCGATATTTCAAAGATCACCCAGAGCTTGATTCAGGAATATTGAACTCGTTATTCCCGGCATACTGCTCATTTTCCCCCCACCCATATAGCTGTCTTTTCAGAAGTACAGATTGCAAGAAAACATTTCTAGACTTGTGGAATGACGAAAACATAAATGTTTGTCGGCAAAAATGACTGTCTACTGTGACTAGCGCTTGAAACCAGACGTATTGAGCGGACTAAGGATGAAAATGGTAGAAGCTAGATACCCGGCCAAGTTATTTAGCTTAATATGAAGCCCAAATAGAAATCTCAAGCCCTATATATAAGAGAAATTGTGACTTCAACCCTCTTTCTTTCTAAACCCGCATCCAAACTCAACTCTAGATATCAGTATCATAGCTATTTATATTCACTCGAAATAAACAGATTCTACTATCAATTCAACCACCATCACGACAACAATACCGACAAAAATGACATCGCCAAAGGCAAAATTGAAACCAAAGGGTAAAGCTCCAGCTTCAATCTCTCATCTTGCAGCTGAACCAATCGGTGCTTCTTCTTCAACACCTACAGGAACAATGTCATCAACCAATAAATCAACCAAAATAAAGCTTCAGTTCAAGGACAAGAACTTTGCCTTGCGTAACCCTTCCGAAGGTGCACCAGTCGGTGCTTCTTCGTCTACACCGACAGGAATAATGTCATCAACCAATAAATCAACCAAAATCAAGCCTCAGATCAAGAACACTACCTCTCGCCCTTCTTTGACAGGGGTACCAAAAGATCGGCGTGTCCAAGAGCGTAATCCGTCTAGATCTTATAAAACCCAAACGGAGACACTAATGAAAACGGAGCTCCAGGCTCACGAGAACGAGTCTGCTGCCTCAAAAACTTCTGATGGATATGCAGCCCACGACAATTCTTCTCCTTCTACTGTGGTTCATACAGACGAAATACCAGTAGAAGTACCATCGTTGGAAAACCCCTTGGAGCTGCTTCCCCTCGCCAAGCTTAGATCACGGGCCGAAGCTGCAACAGCCAAGGCTTCTCCTTCGGTCCAAACAGGAAAAACGCCATCAACAAAGCCATCGAAGGTAGTAATCTTGAAGCTCCCCCCCGCCAAGCTTGCTGCACTTTCCACTTCTACACAAGCTGTACCGAGTGGACCTTCTTCGAAGGTCACCTCTTCTTCCTCAAACCTTGCTTCCTCTACAATCGAGGCACCTCCTCTGCCCATCGCCGCCGATCCAAACGTTACTTATTCAAGTAGGGGAAGAATGATAATCAAGTCGCAGAAGGCAAGAGAACAGGGTTCCGGAAACAATGCAGTCGCGCAGAGTTCAGTCGCACAGAGTTCAGTCGCCCAGAATTCAGTCGCCCAGAATGCAGGGCAAAAGCGAAAGGCTAATGAAGCTGCTACCTCCTCGAAGAAGCGAGTTAAGTTCGCGGATACCGAAGACCACGAGTCGGCAGACACCACTCCAACACACAGGGTTACGGTGGCTCGACGAACAATTATCAAGATTGGAACACGCTCTCCACTTCTACGAAGCAAGGCTCGAGCGGAAGCAGTACTTGAAGCATTGAAAGAAGCTCGAAGCCGGGCTCATTTGTTAGCATGGCAAGAAGAGGAAGAAGAAAGGAACCGTCATGCAAGAGCAAAGATGGGAAATCTTGTCCGGGACTGGTTGGCTCTCGAGGCACAGAGAGATCTCGAAGCCGAACAAGCAAATACGGGAGCTCTTTAGACTCGAAATATGACGAGTATCAAAAGTACTGCCTCCAGAATGGCGTACAGCAACACTGCTCTTTCTCAATTGGCCATCAGGTTCATGCACCTTGTATGACTGGCAAGAATAATCCATAGCCATAGAGAAGGAAAGTAGTAGCTGGCTTAGCATGTACGACTGCAATTTGTCATTGAGGTGGCCTGCAAATACTCGAGTTTGTTGGGCATATAGTGACGTATTGTCGTTGCCCCGGAGAATTTGTTTTTATAATTTACTGATGGAATTACTGCGTTTTTTGTTTTTGAATTTTAATGGAGATCGTGGTGAGGGCGTACGCGTACCTTCCTGATACATACATTACTTTGGATCTGGAATGTATGGACCCATGTTATCTGAACTTCACAGCGTCCAATTTGGGAATGGTTTTGTTTGATATTTTCGGCCTGTATCTATGAATACTCGGTTCTCAATGGCTTTTCTGGTGCACATGTTGTAACTCGTCGAATCTTATCAACGAAATATTAATTGTAGACGGGCTCTTTTTGGGGAATCGTCTAAAAGCGGGAATGTATTTATGGATGAAGGGCATCCAAGCGTGTTTATGCGTTTTACATAGATAGAATGGAAAATTGGCAAAAAATGGAATTCCAACAATGAATCCTGTGAAGTTAACGCAAATGTAAGTGAATGTTGAATTCTAAATGATTGCCCACGTCGATATCAGAGCACCTGTGAAAGAAGTAGAATCTTACGCCTCTGAAGATGGAAGGCACACCTTGAATCGTATGCATAGTTGTATTGACATCAGAAGATTAATGTGAAAATCTGGCAGGTTCACGTACCTAGGTTGTGTGTTTTGGCACACATGCTTTACCGAGATTGAGCGCAGAACTTCAACGGTTTTCTCAATATAGTGGCAAAAGTGCATTCAAATACAGGAACTTTGTGTGAAATGCTACGATTGAACTTGCGACTCCGATATTACTATTTCTACATCATATCTTCCATTTGCGTTCCTATTGTTGTCTTCACAGTCACCTGAACTTGAAGGGGACTTAGTTCGAGACGACGTCAAAGAACTCTCAAATATTACATAAGCAGATAAGATAAGCAAGCGAGGCTGAGGAACCTCATGGAAAGGACAGCTTTTGGACTTGGGTAATTACTTTAAGGACACACATACAACCCATCATAATTGCGACAAGCAAACTCTCGTCGACAACCTCTCAACTCAAGAATCTTGACTATCAATCAGACCATCGCAATCGACAAAATGGAGGAAACTGAGACTTTTACCCTTTTACCATTACATATCGATTATCAATCGAAAGCCCTCTCCACCTCCTCCAATTCCAAAGCCCTCAATGAAGAGTTAGAAGAAATCAATACACTCTGTCGCACTCTCCTTGCGATAGAGTCGCCAATTCCTCCTCCACCGGTACCCGTAAACCCAAAACGTTCCGCCGGAATTACCAAATTGCGAGAAGCAGGCAACGGCGAGTTTCGAAAAGGTAGACATGGAGAAGCTATAAAAATGTATACTCTAGGCTTGGAAATGGCATTAAAGAGACCACTTTGGGAACCATGCGGCTTGGTTAGAGATGAAGTGTCAGGATTGTATGCGAACAGAGCGCAGGCGCATATGGCGTTGCAGAATTGGGTTGAGGGGGCTTTGGATGCGGAGAGTAGTGTGGAGGCTAAGAGAGGTGGAAATGCGAAGGCTTGGTGGAGGAGAGGAAAGTGTTTGATGGAGATGGGTAGGTTGGATGAGGCGAAGGAGTGGCTTGGACGGGGATTGGAAATGGAGAATAATGAAGGGGATCTGGTGGCTTTGTTGAAGGAGATTGAGGCGAGGGAAAAGAAGACTTTACATGTTTAATTTGGAGGGTTTGTGGATGGGAATGGTATGGGGATATGTATGGCATAGAGATATGGAGTCGAGGCGTTTTTTTGCTGGGTTCAGGGACTTAATTACATCTAGTATGTATATGAATTAAAGATCGGTTTGACTTGGCTGGGAGTCCAGTATACAATACTCGCAGAGATTTATGCTACATGCTATATGCTTCAAAAAGTTTGAAAGTCAGGAACGGCATTGAAATATCACTCTATCTGGTCATTGATATCTTGAGCAAATTTAATTTTGAATCGTTACAATTACACCCAAACAAATCACTGTTGCTTCACATCTAGAAGATGTGCCTGAGCAAGTCGGGATTGTGTCAAACTTGTAGTGACATTCTATATCCTTATTGATCATCTATATGTACTTCCGATTCAACAAATCCCAATCATCATTCCTATTTTAAATCGCCACTCGAACATTCTCTCCAACCTGCTAAACATTAAGTATCTCCAGACTCCAGTAAACACATTCTACACTGTCCTGGAGATCCATATCTCACCCTTACCCTCAAAAGCACGAGTGTCCTATCAACACCCAGCCCCGTTTCCATCCCTATCTCTATCTTGAACTCATAAGACTCTCCAACGAAGCTCCTCCATCGAACGCTTGAAACATCCGATCTCGTTCCTCGGGCACCAACTCCCATTTCAACATATACTCCACCAACACACGTTCAACACTCGATCCATCCGTCGAGAGCGCTTCGTGCTCCCGTGTACTAAGTAGCCCGCACTGGCCTGCAAGTACTATTTCTTCCAACTTCAATCTATGGAATACATCCTTGTGTTGAGCATTATTCAACTCGTCATACGGTGGCTTAAGATCGATAGTATCTAGTTTGGCGATTCCTCTCGCAACATTTCTGGCTAGATGAAGAATACGTGCTGTAGAATACCGTTCATTTTTCAACGCAGCAAGCATATCCCATTCTTCATCGAGCAAACTGATCTCCGAACCGAAATATTCTCGAAGCGTCTGTGATGTTACATCACCAAAAGCGCTTGCCGCATCGATCGTCTCAGCAGACGGAAATGGATAATAACTCGTTCTCGTACCAAGATACTTAGTACACTCTCGCTTACACTTCTCACTCATTTTCCAGTCTACAAACCCCCGATTGAATCCCTGGATGACCACATGCATGAAAAAATCCATCGGACACAACCCCAGCGCTTCATGATACTCATCAATCGGCGACTCCGAAAGATAATCTTTCCACAACAATACATAATGCCACGCCTCTCTCGCATCCAACCCATCTTCTCTCACCAATCTCAAAATCTCCCGAAATCCATACGATGTATTCGCAGAATAATCAGCCAAAATCACCTCGTCGGATCGGGGGATCCCACTCACATCTTCGATGGAATGCGCGCTAGTATATGGGGGGATCAATGTGTATCTCCCCACTCGAGAACCCCAATCTTCTGGAATCCGCGAACCAATTCTCGTAGCTGCATGTTCGAGATATAGCTGCCATTTGACCAGATGTTCGAATACAGAGATAGCAGGCTTCTGAAGCATTTATATCCGCTGAGCATTCGCAGCATCTCTTTCTCGCTGCGCCCGGGGCATAATATTGCGTCGATGAGCGGGAATCGTATCCCGCGCAGCCCTAGGAGAAAGCGCGGCGAGTTGTCGCTCCAAGCGCAGATTCTCATAGCTGGTACTAGGTCGTAAGTGCGGTGCGCGCGTAAGAGTATTGGGATTCTCTAGCTCGTATGGTGATATATCTCTATTTTCTGTGGAAAGGTAAGCGCGAAATCTTGCCTCGCCAGATCGTAGCTCGGCTCTGCGTCTGGCGATTTGAATCCGCGTGGTGACGTTCGCCAGGTCGTTTTGGTATCCGGCTAGGATTCCAGAAAGATCTGGGAGTTCGCTATCATCACGCGGCGAGATGCTGCGTGAGATGTTATGGTTCACGATGTTCGACTCGGGATTGGGATGATTCCTTGCCAGTTGATAGGAGGCGAGTTGTTCTGCCATTGATGGCTCAGCGTCTTCGTAGTCTTCGATACTGCTCTGTTGTGATTGTGGTCTTCTTGAATGCATGTCGAAATCGACCCCTACCACAGAGTCTTCCACTTCGGTATTGCGCCCATCACCCAACGGGGCTCCAGGTCTCGTCAAAGTAGTGCCCGAAATTTGATCTCGAACTCCAGCGACTTGTGCTTCTAGATCAACGAGTAAAACTTGTACAGAAGGGCGAGCATTCTCTGTTTCAACTACGGCTGGTACTTCTGAAGATGTAGGGGCCATTTCTCTTCGTTCTTGAAGCTCATGAAGATATCTTTGACGGGCATTTCGCACCAAAACTCCGATCCGAAATAAGCTTCGATCAATTTCCGATCGATTGAGTATTGATGAATTGGCCGTGTAGTATGCATTTGCAGGCTCAAGGTTAGGTGGAGAATGCGATTCCAGAACTGGAGTCTCTAAGGGTAGCGCCGGGAGTCCGCTTCGAGCTCTTCGAGACGCAGTGTCTGCATTGATACCCTCCCGAGCCGATGAATCTGAGTTGTTCAAATAATTGAGAGGTATCCGGCGTTGAGGGAACGGAATAGTACCGTCTCGATTAAACTCAATCACCGGTGGTCTTGAAGTGGCATTCTCAGGGCTTGGATCCCTGGGTTCAGGATCAGCGGCCTGAGATGTCGAGGCATTTGCAGGTGCAATAGAAGCACTTGTATCGACATCTCTTACTGGCTCCTGCACTTGATTCGCAAGGCTTTGAATCACCAAACGCGTCAAAATATCACGTATTCCTGCTCGCGAGTCGGGACTAGCTTCACGAAGTCGCGCACTTTGAACTTGAATCTGAGCCTGGAGATCGCTTTCTGAATCTATGCCCGTCGAGCCTTCGTTCTCAAGCTCAGCAGTAGGTAATGGAGCAATTCTGAGCGATCGAAGCGACGTTTCCTGCTCTACCCATTCTCTAGCCATATTATTCCGACCTCCCGTCAGAGTAATATGCTGATCATCGCCGCGTACCCGACTTCCGTATGGTGATGGTGAAGCCGGTTCTGAACCTGTATATCGCCAATGGGGACTTGTGGATTGGTCTTCGGAGTCTTGATAGTGATAATGTCTTCGTTCAGGACCTGGTACTAGCTCTGGCATCGACGATGTTGCGGTTATGGATGGAGAACTCGAATCGGAGTTTTCGTCTGCGTTGTCCAAAAAATGGTTCCGAGGTTCTGGCGCAGCTGTTTCGGGTGGAGAAATTAATGGATGTACATACTCCTCGAACGAGCGTTGACGCGCAAGACGGTATGCGGAAATATAGTCGAGGATAGCACTTTGAGGGAGAGATGTGATGTGAGCTAGAGTAAGATTTGGGTCTAGATCAGGATTGAGATGGAGTGCTTCAAGAGATTGTGTGGGTGCTGATGTTGAATCTGGTGTATATGATCCAGTGTGTGGAATGTTCGTGACAGTTGAAGCGGATGACGAAACTACAGTTCTTGGTGTTCGTGTGCGTCCTCTTTGCTCAACATCGTTCTCATCATCTGAGCTTCCATTAACTGGATTTCTACCCATCGTCGCATCTGTGCTAGCCAAGCGCGCAGACTCTGGAACTGCGTCTTGTTCTTCCTCATCGAAGGAGGTAGAAGCTCGGAGTATTGACGTGGAAGGAAGATCAACAGAATCCTGAGACTCGAGACCTTCAGGGTGGAGACTTGGTGATGACATTTTAAGTTGGGAATGAATGTGTATTGATTTTGTTGGGAATGGTAAATATCGAGATGATGTAATAACTTGATAGTTGATGCTTTTCGTGTCAAATCCAATGTCAAAGTATTGATTGATGTTTTTTTATGAAGAAGAAGAGCAGACCCAAGAGATCCTTTTAAGCAAAAAGATACTGTATCTGGGAAGATTTGGATACGGTGATTAATACTAGGGTCAGATATTCACGCTCAGGTACGGACATGAGAGTGAATCTGCTGTATATTTCGAAGGCCGTATTTGTTAGGCGACAGTATTCACATTTTGGTATTTGGTTGGATTGGATGACTGATCCATTGTATATATATACGCAGATTCTTTTCAGATGTTATAACGGCTCAATATCTCAAGTTCGTGTTTCGTCATGACAAGAGCGTAGATGTAAAAATTACTTTGCTTCCAGAAAAGCTAGCTACAAGTGCTTTTCTCTTCGGAGATGGATACAGACATACATGCAAATATCCAATAAAGTTGGTTTCCTGCACAGCACAGCACATCTTCAAAACGCGCAGGATTAAAAGCGCTGCAATTTGATTGCTAGATGGTCAAATACAGTGAAATACAACGCAACAAAACACAGTAGGTATAAAGTACATACATCTCAAATGCTCGGTATATGGAATACACAAAAAAGAACAACCCACATCCACCGTCTCATTTTAATCGTTTCCATTTCATAGCATGGCCTCAAATACCAAATCTTTCGTCCCCCGGATTCGTATTATTTCTAACCAGTAGAATATTTCGACTCCCAGAACCCGCTAGTAAGCCATTTTTTGAATCTGACACACAAAATCTCTCTCGCACCCACCCAAAATTTCTCATTATCCTTCTTTATCCACTGCTCAAGATCAGCGGAGTCTCCGTACTTCTCCTACTAAGTCTTGTTCTGCTACTTTCTCCTCTTTCTCTATTCCTATTGTCGTCCCCGGGAACTTCAATCTCATCTTTGATCCTACTAGTAAGATATGCAGCAAATAAAGTACTGATGCCACCCGCAGCCATAACCACCGCAAAACTTCTGTCTCCTGGGGTCCCACGGGGCTTTTGCATGAATTTAAAGATAATGCTGCTGCCAAGTGTAGCGAGAATTTGAGGGGCTGCAACGGACATGTTGTGAATACCGAGGATGATACCTAAGTAAATTGTTAGCAATTGACAACAAAGAAGAAACATGAACGAAATGAAAATGTAAGAGCAACTTACCAGCTTGATCCTCATCCAAATCATCCTCGCCAACTATCGATTGCTGGCGTGCTCTGCGTACAGCATCACGTTTACTAACTTCAGCGCTGATGATAGCAAACGGTGCCCATAAAGTCATAGCCCACGATACACCCACTAATGCTATTAAAACAGTGGCTGCTGTAATAGATCGTACAATGAGAGTTGAAAACATGCATGCTGCGAAAAGAAGATGGCTTATGAGCCATGCACGACGAAGGGTCAGGCCAGGGATGGCGAGATTGTCCATAAATCGTGAGAAACGTGTTGTGTAACTCTTATGAGAGTATGTTGATGCGGCTGATGACGGTGCATCGTAGGACGGGGTAATGAAGAATGGTAAGACGACATTAACAGTCAACGATGTAATAGCGTACATCAAAAGAGCGAAAGTCCCAACACGAGTAGCTTGCTCGTAGAGTTTATCGATTTCTGCGGGAGTCATGTCGGGATTCTCTATTAGATATGGCTGAACATAAATGTCACCGACATAGGAGCTCGAATAAAAAAGTTGAGGGAAGAAGCCAATCCAAGCGAAGAATTCCACTTCACAAACTTGGCGAGTTAAAGGAGGTAAACGCCTGATGGAGGTAAAAACTTGTTTGAAGAATGGGATAAGTCCTGATTTTGTTTCAGGTGGAATTGGCTCGTTGCTTGGATCACGTTCTTTGATTGTAACACTGCTTATGGTGACAGTGGTAGAAAGAGCCACGCAAGCCATTAAAGAAAGTATCTTGAATTGGGTATTTCCAAAAAACCATAGATACTTTGGTAGATCAATATACCCGGCGAAGTAAGCAACAATGTTGCCAATACCTATGACGCGGCTAGCAAATGAGTTCGCAGTTTCTAGAGATAGGACTTAGTTCTTTTCAGGAAACATCACACGAGTGCTTCTAGTAACAAATACCTTGTTGGTGACTAGGGGCGCAATCAAGAATATAAGCTCTGATGGCAGCTTGCACTAAAAAATGTCAGTAAGTTTCGAGTACTAGTATATTGGCACAAACCTGTAGCTATAGCAAAATCTAAAATATAAACTAAAAGAACAGCGACAACGATGATTGAAACTTTGACGCCTTGAGATTCTTTATCTGCGCCGAATAATCCTAGAAATCCACCAACTATCTCTCTTACCCAAGCTAAGAAAACTAAAGACAGGACTGTAGCAACAGTACCTATGGCCATAAAGGGTCGTCTTTTACCCCATGGTGATCGACATCTATCACTTAGTATACCAATATATGGCTGAACCAAAGCCCCTGACATCGGTCCTGCGATCCATACCAAAGCCATTAGTGACTTGCTCAGACCGAGTGATAAAAGATATGGAGTTCCATTGGATAACTCCACTCCCCAAGCCACTTGTAAACCGCCTATACTAAGGGTCAAAAGTATCATGTACCATATCCCCTTTGTTTCCGAGAAAGTATCATTGTCATGATTTAATATGTTGCTGCCGTTAATGAGACCTTCTTCCTCTTCTTCCGATTCGGATGCGGACAAAAGCGGTGACTGTTCGTTTGCAGGTTTGTGGTCCTCCATCCGGGTATCTTGATCCCTTTTCGAGTCGGCACTCTGCATTTCATCATTCCCCTCCCCTCGAACATTGCGTGTGTCACTTTCTGCCATATTCTTTGTTGTAGGAACAGAGTACAAGACCCAAGTCGAGGATTCCGTTCAACAACTTTCAAAATCTCTCTTTGAGTTTGACCGCAAGTCCGTGGAATCACTGAAATTGTCGTTTGCTTTTGGATTTTGCTCGGAGTTTGCGGTCTGTTATAGTATGAATCAACAAGGTTGTCAATGGAGATGCAAGGCGCAATGACAACAAGGAGTCTCAGACATGAGTTGGTTCCTATGGGTTCTGGGCATCACGAGGCTGGAGTGGGCTGCTGTGCACGCGGATCAGCTTCGTCTGCTGGGATGGTCTGGTGGATCAGTGCGCAAAATCAAATGGGTATGAGGTGCATCGGAAAATTCGAGATCTGTACATGTGCGTGGTCAATACGATGTAACACAACTCGGCATGTTGAGATAATGGGAGATTGCGGAGATGAGTTGAACGAATCGTATTTTCTAAAACGAGGCTGCGAGATTCACAGATGAACAGTAGGAGGGTATGTAATGAATGATTTAAGGTCCCTTGTCAACTGATGTGAGGTGACGTGAAGGTTGATGATTAGGTGAGATGCTGCAAGTGACATGATTATGTAATTCGATCAGATATCGCAGCCTCACCACTCGAAGTACCATGAGTAAGGCTGTAATGTATGTAATCAACCAATCAAAAGAAGAAAGGAAACTTTCATAGAATTGGGAGCCTCTCAGACGTGATATGTACGATGTGCAGAGGAAATGCCAGTGGAGTCGCGGAGATGGACAAATCATACGAAGTATCAGGTAGACAGACGATGGGCCATAGCTCATGGCATACGCAATGAGAAACAAACGCGACATGACAATTTTATATCAAAATTTCATATGTAACCGCCCCCACTATCTATGAGTGTGAGAATGAGTGTGAGAGAGAAATATATACAAAGTATATCTGTCCGGTATGAGGGGTTCCGGAGTTGAAGACGGTACAATGTGAACATTGAATAGAGCAAACATTAGATCAAACATCAGACACCTGGCATTTTAATATTGAAAGAATACAATGAATTGTGTCTTCCTTTGTGAATGATACACTTGTTAAACAAATAACAATATATTTTATTCTGCGCCATTCGCAAATTTGGATGCTTTGTCGTAATTGTAATGTGATAATAAAAATGACAACCTGGCCAGAGAGATACTGCGCACTAATCATAATAGTCTCCTGTACCTAGTAGAAGGTAGCTTGATCCAAGTGATACGGAACCGAATCGTTGATAATCCACCTAGTTACTACCTTGTTCCTACCTACCTTTCCCTCCTCCACCAACTATCACCACCACGAATCCCACCAACTTCAGAAGTACTTCGTACATCTAGAACACCTCTCTCCACTCTCAAAACTAATAGATATACATGCGTCATTCTCTTACTATTCGCTGCTCGTCTCTGAGCGACTGTACAGTCTTTCGCATTTCTTCCGCATTACTTCGATAAAGTTCGCGATATCGCAATAGCTAGGTATCTCGATACTACTCCATCATGTCTGCGGCGATCGCCGGCTCTGTCTTTGAGCTTCTGAGTAAGTTTGCGATTCTGTCAATCAGGGTTGTTTGTGCGTCAGCTAATGAGTTTGGTTTGATAGAAAGACAATCTGAGGAAGAAGATCCCGACGGTATGCTATAGTGTTTCCAACATCTGAAGGAAATCCCCGAATGACAACTGATCCCATTTCCATAGCACCCGATTCATCACAGAAGGAAATATTCTCATCATGGGCTCTCTTCATCTTAATTATGCTACTCATTGTAGCCCTCTTCACAAGTTACTTGCTTCAAATCAAGAAGGTTGAAGCTGTTCATGAAACTTCCATTTCGATCTTTGCTGGTAAGTTATGTTGATCGGGCGGTTCATAGGGTATATATTAACCAATTAGGTATGACCATTGGCTTGATACTTCGAGTCAGCGCTGGAAACTCTATACAAAGTCTTGTGAGCTTCGACGATCAGATATTCTTCAATCTTCTCCTGCCGCCGATTATTCTGGCTTCCGGATACGAATTGCACCAAGCGAACTTCTTTCGCAACATTGGTACTATTCTTACATTTGCGTTTGCTGGGACTTTTATATCGGCAATTGT